ATCTAATCTATTGTAGATTATATAAAGAACTAGAGCATATCATTTTTCAAAAGACCAGGATAGGCAAAATAATTTCTTGATCATTAAAGGAAGATACTGGGTCCTAAAGATATGATATGCTATCTGATGCATTACATTAGCCAATAAACACTTGGTAATTGCTTTTAGTTTATTATTTTTTCCTTCCAGATGACTAATTTTGCATTATTTTTATTATTATTAAATGCTCTAAGTAATCAAGATGTACTAGACAAATTCCAGGAAACCTGTCTGTTAGGTATATTCTTGACAGATTTAATTTGCAGTTGCTTGTATAAAGTCAAGCTTCCACTCAGTTATGTGGAATTATGAGATAGGACAATATGACAGTGGTTTGCTAATGCTTCTTTGATTTCCCAGCTTATTCTATTCTATGAGTCTATTCTATGGGCTTTCCTGGCGTTATCCCATTAAAATATTAGCTAGATTTAATCCTGCTTAGTTTGTCCAGCTTCAGTCAAGGGTCAATTATGCTATCCATGTTTATAATATTAAATCTAAAATATATTACCAGATCAGCATATTTCTTGCAGAGTGCTGCTAGTTTTTCTTCTGGAGTAGCAAGTGTGTTTAAAGCTTGCATAAGTAACAATACTTCTTTTCCTATGGGCCAAGAAAATATCATAGCAGCATGGTTAGAATATTGACAATAAAAAAATGTAAAATATGAGGAAATTTCAGCCAAAGCAACATTTTCCTATAAGACAATGTGAGAATGGGCATCAACAACTTCTGAATAATTACAGTATAAAGACATTGGGTGCAAGTACTGGTTTCCATACAAAAAAACCATTTTACCTACAAGGTTTAGGAATGTACAGAGGCAGCTAGCAAAGCACTATATATTTAACTATCAAAACTGAATTTAATAAGGTTCAATAAAATATTTGAGTTTTAAGACATATAGCTATTAAGAGCATGGGAGTTTTAAATATGTAATAAAGACAATATGTTCAACCTTAAAAATGTATGTTTCAATGGCAATAAGTACCTAAAGTTTTTTCTTTGTTTTTCTCATTTTCTGAGTCTTGCTGGCCATCAGGTGGGTCAATACGGGTTTCTTCTCTCCCTGGAGTCTCCTCCCGCAACTCTTGGGTACAATAGTCTTTCCCCACCAGCTTTCTGTTTTTGGAAATGTAATCTTCTACCTCCTGTGCATCTTCATTTTCTCTGCTCTCACAGTCAGTTTCTGCTTGCTGCAGCATTGTATTTGTAGTATGCTTGCTGTTCTCCAATTGATCCTAGTTGCCAATTCCAAAACTCACAAATCTTTGATTTTTCCACAGTAATCAACTCACACTGGGAAGAGAAATATACTCAAAATTATTAAAGAAAACAACCGCATTATTTTAAGCTTTCGAGGCACCTAAAAGAATAGGCATGTTTCACCAACAAACTGCGCATGTTTAGACGGGAGGGCAATGATAAGCAGATGCCATGGGAGCAATCGCACTCCTTGTTGACAATCGCACTCCTAGGACAATGCCGTGAGCTTACTTGGAGACAAGTCTCCTTAATTTTATTGCTTCAACGTTTAGAATTGTGCCGGAAGGGGAAAAAAACCGACAGGAGCTCCATCCGATTATGATCAAACCGGCTCCCCTTCCCGCTCTGAAGAGCTCATGTGAGAAGCGGCACGGTGGGATAACCAGACCCCTCCCTCTCAGCCAAACGCCGGGCTCTTGCCCAGGTATGGAGGGGGAGAAAGACGAGACTGAAGAAGTAGGCTACCAAGAAAGCGTCTACTATAGCTACCTCCTCTGCCAAGAAGCCGAACTGCGAGACCGGAAGTTTAGCGAAGCGGATTAGAACGACGCGCAAAGGAACTTCCGGTCTCTTCCGCCCAAAGACCCGGCTGTGGGTAAAACAACCGCCCCCCCTCCCGGCCAGGAGGTGAACGCGGACGGGTTCGCGCTGTGCCCGACTGACTACCTATTCCCATCTCTGCGGAGAAAGCGCGTGACAAGGGAACGCGGGAAACCGAAGCGACGGCATATTGTTATTCGCTCCTTGATTTTTAAAAGCCACGAACTAATAATGTTTGCTCGCTACACTTTGCCCTACAATCACCGTGTTCGGTTGCTACCGATTGATTCTCCTCTGTGTCGCCGACAACGGAATTCAGTTGGGTTGAATTTCTAGCCCCCAAAAACGTGTGCTATGACAAGGTGAAGGTTTTAATTGACTTTAATAATAATGAATATTCAATATTTACTTAAACATTAATATTTAAGTCAATTAAATATTGCTGGCAATTCTATAGGAATTATATTTACATATTTGCATATTTATTCTGAAAAAAAGATGACAGGGATTCACTCCTATGTTCAGGCCCATAAAAAGATTCAATAGGGAAGATGACCAATGTTTCATTGCCACAGAAAGTCCAGAAATAATGGATGTAAGATAGAGCTACCTAGATCTTGGTGAATGAAAAGGAAATTTTCCCAGAAACGAAAATATTACAAGACTGGGGTGGTATACCTCTGAATATTGTGGATTCTTCATTTCTGATTGTTGTTTTTTTTTTTAAATAGCCACAAGGATGTTTTTCCTCCCTGCACATTTCAGACAGTTGGACTAGACCACCCTAGTGGTCCCTTTAAATTCCTGTTCTAAAATTCGATAAGTGAACATCTTAGGGAAATGGTGTGTGTGTGTGTGTACGCATGTGTACACACTAAATTTCACTAAGATGTTCACTTACAGAATCTTAGAATATCTCCCAAAATTTAGATTTCTACTTTTTAAAACAGAAAAGTTTAGAGTTGAGTGATAAGAGAAAGGCTAGACAACAAATTGTATTTCTGATGAAAGCTTGTTGCCCTCCCCAAGCCTATGAATTTTATTCATGAGTGATTATGTTTGAGGGCTGCAATATCAGGGAGAATTTGTGCTGTAAATAATGGCCACATACAAAACCATTCTTCAAATAGAGAATGTATGTAGCACAGAATTGCAGTGTGGAGTCTCTGGTGTTGACCTTAGTTGGTTGCAAATGTTTCACTCAACTAGGTAATAGTACTAGATAGCATGGAGTTTACTCTCTATTTACATAGTTTCAGGGGTCTTCAAACTTGACAGCTTTTAGACTTGTGGACTCAACTTCCAGAATTCCTCCTCCAGTTATGTTAGCTCAGGAATTCTGGGAGTTGAAGTACACAAGTCTTAAACTTGCCAAGTTTGAAGACCCTTGTTATATATAGTAAGTTGCCCTGTCAGTGTTGGTGGGGATATGGTTTCCTCCTTCCTAGTTCAATACCCTAATCAAAGAACTACCAATGAAGGATCCCTTCCCCATCATTACAGGTAGGGTAAGCTACTGTATATAAACAGGAATTAAATCCCACACTTGCAGGACTCATGATGTTACATAGTCAAATAATGAAACATTTGCCACCAACCACGCAAGCAAGTTTGGAGAATACCATGGACTCTTAACAGGTGTCATTTGTTAACCATCATTAACAAAAGAAGCCGTGACCTATTTTTTACATATAGGTTTTCTTGGTTGGACTTTTCCAACATTCTCCATGCATGAGATGTTTTGTGAGGGAATGAAATACAGCAATGCCAGAGACATAGAAAATTCTCCCTCAAGGAGCAACAACCATATTTAACTTTCTACTTCACTCTGGACTACTCATTTAAAGGAAGCATGTCACTTATTTGTCCCTTCTGGATATTGTGGCCAAGGTCACCACTTACATAAAGTTTACCTATAGAAAGAAAAGAGTGAATGGAAAAGTCAGTGTGGGTGTGCTCTTCAATGGTCAATTCTTTAGATTGTTCTGCTCAGAGAAAAATGAATAGGCAAATGCCATTGCTTTTTATTGCCCCTGTGGGCCTAGTTCTATTTGCCACCATGCCCAGAAGGGATGAGTCGGAAAAGAATTGTTGCTATTTGGTTGCAGGTTCTCATTTCCACAAGCAGAACTCAAGACAACCAGACAATGTAGAGATCTTAGGGAATTTTCTAACTAGGGTTCTTCCTCCCTGTACTTTTACTAGCTCTTCTGGTTGGCAGAAGAAAGGAGAAGTTTACTCCTTGACAACTTCTTTTCCTTGACAAACTTGATTTTTCTTTCAAAATAAAAAAGCAAGAAGCAAACCTCTTCAAAATTGGTAAGCCACAAGCAGCCTGTCTTTCCAGGTAACAAGCGCCTCTCTCCCCTCCTGTATTTAAGAGGTCGCACACAATTGACTCATCAGTTCTTGGCGGTGCAGCAGTAACAACCTGGATTTCGCACGAGGAGACTATAGTGATCAAAAGCGGATGCGGCAGAATCGACAACATTTATAAATGAGAAGTTCCCGGCAAAGGGACTTAGAGAGCATCGAGTATAACAGAGCGACTCGCGATTCGATATCCTCCACATGTTCTCGCCCCGCTCCCTGAAGAGCACGACAGCAAGTGCACATGGTCCCCGAGACTTTCCAATCCTTTTTCTCCTACGGATTCTCCCAGGAGGATGTGGCTATAAGCCATCCCTGCTCCGGTGCGGCATTCTCCCAAGGGGGATATAAAGACATTGCAGAAATACCTTCCCAAACTGCAACTGTAGCACACCATCTGCAACTGGAGCCCTTCTCTCCCCCAAAGTGGGAAAGAAAACACAATATTTTACCTTTGAATAGTCCCGTATCAACCCGTAGGGCCGCCGCCTCCTCCTCCTCCTTTCCTTCAGACGGCTCTGGCTCAGCAGTCAGTCTGGCCTTCGCGGCAGCACTACCTTAAACACACGCTGGGCCGGCTCTGCGCGCCGCCATAACGTGAATATGGCATCCAAACAAGTCGGCCCGCACCGGAAGCCCTCTATGTCAACCTGGCCTCAGCCAATCACTAGAAGCTTTTCTCTGCATCCGGGGTTTGCCTTTACTCCGAATAAAGCACAGCCATGGGAGTAGCTTGGAACTACAACTCCCAGTGTTGATGAGGCAGCCGCGTAGCCGGCTCGGAGATCACAAATAACTTTCGCTTTTCCCCTCAAGTCGCGATCTCTTCCCGACGCTTCACGGGATTTGTAGTTTTTTTTGTTGTGTTTTCTTCTCGAGCATGCGATGGCGGCGGCGACGGCTGGAAGCGAATGTTTCCTACAAGGTGCCTTTGGCTTTTAAGGCGCTCTCTCAGAGAAATTCAACACAGTAGAGTAGGGTGAGTCTTCTTAAGTTCGAGATTCTTTGTAACGCCGTCCTGGCCCTTAGGAGGCATGTAGCACAGATTGGTGTGTGAAGCACTTGTTTCCAAAAGATATTTCAGTCGTCGCACCACGTGAAAGAACTAGTGGACTTTATGAAACAATTACTCCTGCCCTGTTCGCGGCTAGAGTTGGGATAGGCTGGTAGCTACATTATACTTATAACAGCAGTGGAGCTTTTCCCAGTCCGCATCTATCTTCCACAATATATGTATTGTTGGTGTTCACTTGGTTTTCCAAGTTAGGAGGGGAATGATTCTTACCCTACATCCTGCTTGGTACATTCAGAAGCTCTTTCAAGGTGAAAAAAAAAAATATTTACCCAATATCCTTCGCTGGAACGCGTTTTAATATTGTGAACTTAGTTGAAATATTGTTAAGTCTGCAATAAATAATGGTTATTGTGCTACGTGTGAGCATGTAACAATGTTTTACAGTTAAGAGACAGCATTAATAAATACTTAGCAATATTCCAGTTAAACTCAGATGACATTTGTTAAAATGACGTGTTCATAATTGTGAATGCAAGTCGTATATTAGATTGTAGAGGTAAAAGTAGAATTCTAGTAGAGGTAAGTCTGCCATTTTCTATTAAAAACAACACCCTAGGCGATCTGGTTAATTTTGTAGGAGTCCACTCAATCATCTATTATAGCTGTGCTACAAATTACTCGGTTACAGCTGAGTGTAGCATGAAGTCTACTAGCTAATTTATATATAGTGTATTGTATGAACCCAGAATCATGGGTAACTTGTGTAAATGTTGGTTAGCTAAGCATGTCATATGAACATAGTAATATTTGCTTCAGTAAGCAATGCAAGATATCATTACAGAATCTTAAAATCTTCATTGGGTTTACAGTTGGTTTTTTTATTGCACCCAATCAGTTATAAGATCTTAGCTGGCATCATTTGGCTTTCTTACTGAGGAGTGTGGTTCAGCAAGATTTTATTTGGCAGGAAAATGGGAAGTAAGATGATTGTAAGAAAGATGAAGTAGAGAAAGTAATATGCAGATTATTGAAAGTTAAATGTACTTTATTGAAAGTGGAGAACTGGTTAAAAGGTTGTAAGACTGTTTCCTAGTATGATTTAATTGCTTATTGTACATTATTATTATTATTATTATTATTATCATCATCATTATTAAGTGTTGTACCTTATGATTCTTGACTCTTGGCAAATGTATCTTTTCTTTTATGTATACTGAGAGCATTTGCATTAAGACAAATTCCTTCCGTGTCCAATCACACTTGGCCAGTATTCTGTTCTATTCTATTTTAGACTGTAAGTGCATAAATCCGTGATGGCAAACCTATGGCATGCAGAGCCACTTCTGCCGGCACGCAAGAGATCGCCTGGAAGAGCCCCATTGCGCACGCCGACAGCCGATTGTCGGGTATCTGGCATGCATGCATGTGGGCCGGGAGTGCACAGGAGATGCATGTTCATGCACAGAGACACACAATATGTGGGGGGGCTTGTGCACATGCGCAAAGATGTGCAGCATGCGCAGGGTCACATGCACAGGGGCTGTGGGGGGGGCCAGCGCGCATTGCACAGGAGTCGAAAAAGGTTAGCCACCACTGGCATAGATGAAATATGGATCTGGATCTGGATTGGATTAGAAAGTGGAAAATTCTTGGGCTATTTTACAAATATGAGGATGGCAAATTGTGTGGCCCTATTGTAAATGGAGGTGTCCACAGGAAGATGAAAAGGAGAGTGTAGGCTGCCATACTTGTGCAAAAAGAACATTGATCTGGTACAGGAGCCTGATGCCAGCTTTGATCTTCTGAGAGTGATATTTCTAGGGGTTCAATGAGAGACAACCTCAAAGGCAAGGAGTAGAAAGAGGCTGGTGTAATTGGCTGAATGGGAGAGTTGATGTTACAGAGTATCTTCAGCTTCAGTGCATGGTCAGAAATGGTCAAGTGACTAAGGAGTTCCTAGAACAGATAAATGATAAAGGACTTGGATTATCAGAGATGTATAGGTCAGAATCTATAAATCAGGGAAACTGTGAGAAAGTTTCACAGCTCCCTCTAGTGAGAGAACAGAGGGTAAAGGATTCTCTTCATAACATGTCATGTTTTTTAGTGAAATTTTAAGGTTTGAGGACAATGGCAGTATTTGTTTTAGGAATAGGAATGTGCTAATCAGGAATAATAGTTCTGAATAGTTGTGAATAGAGTAATAATTATTTTGTGGTACGTGTGAAAACCAAGCTAGGCCTGCAGAAGTATCTTTTATATGACAAGTACTAATGAAATGTTTGGTTTGAGGGCCCTTTGGAAATTGGGGTAGGATAGGGCAAAGGTTATTAGGTCAGATATACTTATTAATGAAAGTCTGTTCAAAGACACTTGCCTCACCATGCTCAAATGGCTAAGTCAGGGCTGTCAAACTTGTGGCCTGCGGGCTGGATGCGTCATGTGCTGGCCACACCCATGCCTAGTTTAGTGAAGGGAGAAAAAGTTGCAATATAGCATGTGATGACACTGCGATGACATGAGTTTGACACCCCTGGGATAAGAATTTGACACGAGTTTAACACCCCTGGGATAAGTTATCAAATGCCTTGGTCTCCAATTGCTACTGGTAAATGTAAAGTCTATTCACAATCAGACTACATCCATCTATTACATGGTAAAGGATGAATAAGCTTGTAGTATATTACTTAGAACTGGCTGGGCAAAAATGATAAGTATGCCTGACAGAATATGCTACCCAGGTTTCTGGTCATGCAACAATTTTGATGCCGACTCTTGACTGGTGGCCTTTCCAGGAAACATGAACTTGGTTAGGAAAGGATAAATAAGATAATGCAACTGAATGCTATCAGAATGATTTTGCAGGTTTTCTTCTATTGATAATTTCTTAGATTTGGGTGTAGGTTGGACTGTTCAAGTGAGGTGATGGGAATGCTCTGAAATTCTTTTGGGCATGTGAAACCTGATAAGGTGTATGGGATTTTCTAAAGCAGTGGGCACCAACCAGTGGTCTGGGGACCACTGGTGGTCCGTGAGAAAATGTTGGTGGTCTGCAGAGAAATGTCACCCCCAAAGCACCCCCCAAAGCAATTAATCTAGGCTGCGTGGGAAGACAAGGCTGTGTCCCCCACATGGCCCACGGGAAGACAAGGCTTGCATCGCTTGCATTGCGAACAACGCGAGGTAGTGAGGGGAGGGGGGAAAGGGCAGAGGGCGGAAACTTGCCCCTGGCCACCTGGCTGCTTCTTTCTTCTTCTGCTTTTGGCTGCACGAAGGAAAGCAACAAAAGTCTTTCTTTCTCTCCCCCAAATTCCACCAGAAATGAGTCTTTGGGACCCTGCAAGGCATCCTGCTCCAAGAGGCTGCACCAGCAATGACTCATTTCTGGCAGAGTTTGGGAGAGAGAAAGAAAGACTTCTGCTTCTGTTGCTTTTCTTGCATGAAGCCAAGTGTCTCTGTCTCTCTCTCCCTGCCTCCCTGCCTCCCTCCCTCCCTCCCTCCCCTTGAGAATAGAGCTGGAGACAGTATCCTGCGATCCCAAATAAAGAATGATTGATCGGTAGGAAAACAGGGTGGGGAATTTTCCTGCAGACTTTTTTGGGATTTTCTCTGATCCACCGGATTTAAAATTATGAGTTTGATGGTCCCTGAGGTCCAAAAGGTTGGCGACCCCTGTTCTAAAGTATGAGTTCTGCCACCTGGGACACCATTTTACAGTGTTATTTAATAATTATACAGAATCTCTAGGAGAGGTCATCTCTCCGTTTATAGAGTACTGTATTCGGAAGCTTCAACTATGCTGTGACTGGCACTGGTTATTCAGCACATCACCACACTGGTGTATGACTTACATTGACTTCTGCTGTGCTTCTGGATGCAATTCAAGGTGTTATTAGTTTTAAAGCCCTTCATGGCTTGGGACCAGTGAACTTATGGGACCATCCCATCTCAAGTCTCTACCTGATCCAGCAAAAGGTGCATGTTCATTGACTAAGGAGTATTGGCTGCAGGGGAGAGCTGTTTCTGTAAAGGCACCACTTTTAAGCATCATTTATCCTGATATTGGATTGGACCGGTGGTGGTATTCTACCAGTTTGGCCCGTTTTGGCATACTGGTAGCACTGAAAATCAGCTGACAGAGAACCAGTTCGCTCCGGGTCTCTCCGATGTTCTGCAGTTGGGCCCACCTGCCCGGCCCTGCTCTTAGGTCCTTTTTAACCTCTCAGCTGTTTGACGCTATTTCAATAACTAATGGGCTATTTGAAAAAAAATATGTATAGCATTTGATAACAGTCTCATATACAGCTCATTTTTAAGACCGAAACTCCTATAATCTCTGATGATTAACCATACTGCCTAGTGGGAATCTTGCTCCCTGAAGAGAAAAAAGTAGCTGAGAGTGCTATAAAATTGCCCTTAATATTGTCCTTAAAAGTATCCATTGTTACTATTAATACAGGTTAAAGAATGTTTAAACTCTAGCTTTAGCTAGTAAATATTGTATGATCTTCGACATTTTATGTTCTGGAAATTATATTTTCTAATTTATAGCGTGATGACATGTTTTCTAATTTATAGTGTGACTGTTCTCAACTTATGATTGTTATCCTTATATATTTGTAGATGCAATTACAGTCTTTTTTGAATTCTCATGAGTACTGGGGTTTGGATAAAAGATTACATTATTTAATATTTCAAAGAATCAAGTTATTGGCTACATTGAAACTGTTCATTTCTGAAATGTAGGAATTAATGAGATAGTTCAAACAAAATTAATGTAAATGATTTAACTCCTATCCTGTTACCAAAAATCGTCCTAGTACTTTAGGGAACCAGAACAGTGTTGGCGAACCTTTTTGGCACTATGTGCCTAAATGGGAGTGTGCGCGTGCACAAGCCCACATGCTGGAAACCGGAAGAGCAACTGGTTTCAAGCGTGCACATGCACTCTGGCCACCTGGTGTTCTGGTTTCTGGCATGCATGCACGGGTGAAGTCCAGCTGGCTGGTGCACATGTGCGCATCAGAAACAGGAAGAATGTCAATGAATCCCTCAGAGTCCATTTAAGGTCACGCCAACTGCTTCAGTGATTCCATCCAGTCACCTTATTCTCTGCCGTCCCATTTTTCTTTTGCCCTCAATCATTCTGAGCATTAGGTTCTTCTCCAGTGAGTCCTTCCTTCTCAATAGGTGGCCAGAGTATTTGAGTTTCATCTTCAGGATCTGGCCTTCTAAAAAGCAGTCAGGGGTTGATCTTCTCTAGGACTGACCAGTTTGATCGCCTTGCAGTCCAAGGGACTCACAGAAGTCTTCTCCAGCACCATAGTTCAAAGGCCTCAATTCTTTGGCGCTCAGCCTTCCTTATGGTCCAACTTTCAGTCATACATTGCAACTGGGAAAACCATAGCCTTGACTATACACACTTTTGTTGGCAGGGTGATGTCTGTGCTTTTTAGTATGCTGTCTAAATTTGCCATAGCTTTCCTCCCAGGAGCAGGCGTCTTTTAATTTCTTGGATGTAGTTCCCATCTGTGGTAATCTTGGAGCCCAGGAAAATAAAATCTGTCACTACCTCCATTTCTTCCCCATCTATTTCTTGCCTTATAGCACAATTGAATTAGCCTTTGCCCAGGCTAAGCCTGTATTTCTCATTAAATAGAAATACAGTATCTGTCTTTAAGTGTCAGTAGTTACTATGAAATATTCTATACATTTTAAAAACTGAAGGCATACTTTTGTCTTAAACATATGCAATCTATGTTTTCCTTTAAAGCTTGTTCTGGATATGACTTTCAAAGTCATTGGAGATATTTTGTTTAACTAATGTTTGTCATTTATCCTCTGCTGGTTCAGGTGCCACCAATCAAAACTGAAACAGTATCTTTTTAGGGTAGTGAAGGGAGTAGTATTGTCCAACTGATTTTGCTGTTATTCAATTAGTGGAAAGCCTTTAGTGCTTCTGTTTAAAATGGTAACATTTCAAAAGCCCCAATTAAAAGCAACATTTGAATTATAAACAATTATAAACAAGCTTATGACATTCTAGAATCTATTTTTGAAAAAGCTCATATTTAGGTTATTTTCATGAGGTATTTATAAATGAGTCAGAAGTAGCAAAATAGCAACGAGTTCTTGCCATTATTAATATGAAAGTAGTTGAGATACAAGTCAACTACAGGAAATGTCACAATTTTACTTATGGTCAGGAATTATTTTCTCATCATTCATCATTTAGTATTTTCTAATCATCTGAAAATATCAAAACAATGAAAATACAAATACAATGATCCTGACAATTCTAGGCAGATTTTTAAATATATGTTCATGTGTTCTAGATCATTCTTACATTAAGTACTATTTTGTGATAAACCAAAAATCACTTCTGCAATTTCTTTAACTATGACAATTTGGTATTATTAGAAAATCCCTAAAATACAAGCAAAACTTGCAATATAATTTGCTAGATTATAGACAGTATTTTCCGAGAACAGTTTCTGTGCCTGATTATGCAACACTTTGGGCCTCAAGGAGAGTACTTGAACCAAATGTAAGAACAAGTTCATGTCAGTTTTTGGAAAATGTTCCAGACAAAGTGATCAATTTTCTGTCTGTAGCATTTTTTCGATTTCTTTGTCCCAGTTGTCATCTTGTTTTTCTGATTCTGTAACTACTTCATATTCTTGAAGTTCTTGTTGTAGTTCTTTTTCCCAGTCTGCAGTTTCTTCTAAATAGAAATAAAACATATCCTTAACTTATATGACTGTAAAATACTCAACATGTAATTTAGTGTTCATACACTCTTATAATTGAATGCACCATTTTAAGATCAAAATCAAACAAGAGCTTTAACAAAATACTATTTTTATGGATTTTGTACTAGCAGGACCATATTATTAGAATAAGAAGAATAATTATTTTTACCATCCACTGTAGTTGTTTCCTTTTTCTCATCAAGCACAAGCTGTTCAATCTCTTTTCTCAAATCTTCCTGATTCAGGTTGCAAGCATCAAAAGCATCACTTACAAATTCAGATACACCTGGACTAGTAGAAATCTCTTCATCATCCTTTAATATAATTTTAAAGAAGAACTAATTTAAGAATATAAACAAACTTTATTAAAAGATTTATACTATTCATTTATTATAAGGCATGGGTATCAAACTCGTGGCATCACGTTGCTGTCGCGTGGAGTGTCGTGTTTTTTTCCCCTTTGTGGAGCTGGGGTGGGCATGGCCTGTGTGTGATGCATGTGGCCTGTGGGCCACCAGTTTGACACCTCTGTTGTAAGGAATGGAAAAACACTGAAGTTACAGATACATGATATCTAAACCAAGAAAACACTTGTAGTTTTTAGCAACTACATCTATGTTATAATAGCAGATTGCAAGAAAGAATAGATATCTACCTGATCCCAACAATGCTTTTAGAATTATTCTTCTAGCATGTCATCTCTGCTCTCCAGCAAGAAAAAATGCACTGTGCTATTGTTAATGAAAAGATTACTAGTACTAACTTCTGTACATCTTTAGATTTTTTAGGCCCATGGACTGGATCCAGCTTGCAGGGCTGTACTGGAAACACTAAGGGGCTGGCCCATGTTGCTACAGCCCAGCCCATCACATCCTGGTGTGCACATGTGCGCACAGGAGACGGGTACATGCTGGGATAGGGTGGACCGGTCCTGTGTATGCGTGCGCCCGCCTCCTGTTCACATGTGCATCCACCAGGATGGGATGGGATGGGCCGAAGCGACAGTAAGGGGCACGCAGGCCCCTTACCATTTTCAGGACAGCTGTACTTACCAGCCTTTCAGGTATGTGTGCATGGGGGGGAGGTGTTCAGCAGCAGAGGCTCTGCAGCTGGCTCTCCAAGGAGCAGATATGGCGATGGTGGCACCGGCAGCAAGCAGGGTTGTGGGGGGAGGCACGTGATGCGCACCACTGGACATGCCTGCTCCATCCCATGTGTCTGGGATAGTGTTCTGACCTAGGCTTCTTTAGAAAGCATAAAACGCAATCTTAGTTTCAGCAAAACCTCTTTTATTTCCACGGCTGTGAATTACGTTCATTCACAGCCTGCAAGGCTTCACAAACAGTCTTTCAGGGGAATGTTTATAAACACCCACCTTATCGCACTTGGAATGCTGCCAGAGAACTAACTGCCAAACGCAGGGCAAGGCCAAATTTGACACAGAGTCAAACAAAACTTTTCAAAGCTTGAATCTACCAGACAAATTAATTGCTTCTTGCAAAAGCTCATGTCCCGTTCGCTCCCCTTTTATATCCTATGGGAGAGGCCAATCATCTCCGAGGTGTGGCCTGAGTCAACCCTGCTTTCTCAATTGTTTTTGTCTTCTGGTAGCTCTGCACATGTGCAGGCTGGGAATGGGTTCCAGAAACTCCCCCGCCTCACTGCTGTCTGAGTCTGAAGGAAGCTGATAACTGTCAGCCTGCCCTGGCCCCATCTCTGCCTCTGATGCAGAGCCCTCGTCTGAGCTTTCCTCAGCCTCCAAACCAGCCCAGGTTCCTCCCCAACCTCCCCACTACTGTGCGACTTTGCTGCCAGCTCTGTCAGGTGCTGGCAGGCCACAACAGATAGATCAGGTGGCTGCCCTGCACCTCTGCCTCCGGCTACTGCTGCCACTGCAGGCCAAGACAAGGTGAGGAGTGTGTGGGGCAGTTGTTATCAGACACCATCGGCCTGCCTACTCCATCCCATCTGTTTTTGCTTGTGGTTGGAGAGCAGGTTGCCACCGGTCATGTTGGCCTCCTCGTGGCTGTTGCCCTTGGCCTGTGCGCATTTCCCTTGTGCCCCTAACACACTTTAGGACCTCTATGAGCTGCCACCATTATTGAGGCCACCAGCACTTTGCGCAGCTCCATTAGGCTGCTGTCATCGCTGCCTGGAGCACCAGGTCCTCCCAGCACGAAGTGGCTAGCTAGAAAGTCCAAGTAGACACGGTAAAGCATGCCCAGGCCCAGCAGGCAAAAGATGGTCACTGTGAGTGGGGAAAGCCGGATTCCCATTGGTGCCATGGCTGCCCAGACCCAGCCGGGATTGTGTGCCTCCCCCCATCTCTGCTGGACCTGGGTAGCCATAGTGCCAATGGGGATCTGGCTTCCCCTGCTCACAGTAGCCATTTTTTGCCAGCTGGGCCTGGGCGGCCATGGTGTCGATGGGGATCTGGCTTTCACCACTCATGGTGGCTTCTTTTGCCTGTGGGGCCTGGGCATGCTCTACCACTTCTATTCGGCCTTTCTAGCTGCCTGCTTCACCTACTTTGGGCTGGGCGGGTCTTCCGAGCAATGATGGCAGCCTGCAGTGGGGCCAAAGTGCATCAGCTATGCAAAAGGGGAACACGCTCCACACACAGGCCAAGGGCAAGACCCGTGAGGGGGATGAGGAGATGACCAGCGACAACTTACTCTTCAACTGCAAGCCAAAACAGACAGTGGGTCAGAGTAAGTGCATCCAGTGGTCGATATGAACAGCCAGCTCGGTGGTGGCAGTGGGCTCCGGAGCTGCAGCGTGCACCAGCTAAGGGGCTGGCAGACTGTGGCTACAGTCTGAAACCATCCTCCCCCCCGCACATAAAGGGTGGTGAGCATGGCGTGGCTGACAGTTTCCAGCTGTAGCTTCCCTGCCCCTTGCCTCGCCTCACCCCATCCCACGGGACAAGCCTCCCTCCCCATCGGAGACCTCTGGATTCCTTCCCCAACCCCACCTGGTCCCCACAGGCACCACCCACACGAGTGAGTGATGTCAAGCTGGTCATGCCCCCAGGTCACCCCAGTCGGCCACCCCTCCCCCCAGCAGACTTCAATGCTGATCTGGCCCTCAGTTTAGGCTAAGAAAACATAACTTTGGTAGAACAATCATCAAAGAAAAATGGCTTGAACAGGTAGCTTTACGCAAACTCCTAACTAAAAGAGTTTCCACTGTTAGTCCTTTTTAAATTCTAATTCAGACTTATTTCAGCAATTTCTTTTACTTTCTAGTTTGCTTAGATAAAAGCTTTGTGGGCAATTAGAAAATAGCTTGGATTTTGACATTTAAAAATCTTTGCTTAATCGTATACCTTAATCAGCACTATAATGTAAGTTTACCTCTTGATGTTTCAGCTGAGATTTGATTGCAACAGGTGGTATCTTTGGCCTCACAGTATCTAGGGGAAAAATAGATACAGTAAAATTCTGAAGGTATTTTCTAACAATGTCTGATGTTTTAAAACATGTGGATAACTCTAGGCATTGATACCCAGCTGTGATTTATTGCTACTGCATGTATGGATAGCAAACCTGTACTTCTGTATTTTCTTCTCTTCCCCCTTCAACAAAGAAATACATTTGGTTTGCAGTCTGTAATAAAAGGGTAGCTTGTCTTTGTTACTGATTTGATATACTGGTTTCTTAATTGTGGTGTTAACAAGATGTATTTTTTTCAGACTTGAATGAAGCAAAAAGTATTCAGGTATTCTTTGACTAACAGCAGTTCACTTAGTGACCATTCAAAGTTACAACAGCACTGAAAAAAATGACATGATGGTTTTTCACATTTAAGACCGTTGCAGCATCCCCATGGTCACATGATTTATATTCGAATACTTGGCAACTGACTCACCTTAATAACAGTTGCAGTGTTCTGGGGTCATATTACAAACTTCTGGCAAGCAAAGTTAATGGGGAAGCTAGATTCACTTAACAGTTGTGTTACTATTTTAACAACTGCAGGGATTGTGGCAAAGAAGGTTGTAAAATGGGGCAAAGCTCACTTAACAAATGTCTCACTTAGCAATATAAATTTTGGGCTCAATGGCTGTCGTAAGTCGAGAACTACCTGTAGTTTGTTAAGCTTAAAATAGCCTTTCTTGACATACAAAGAAGACGAAAAAGGAATGGAATAATGTAGCAGAATGCAAGTTTTCTGAGGTTTATAGAAGGGGTAACAGGCTTTTTGAACTAGGTCTACCCTTTCAGTTGTCCTTAAATAATGAAAACAATTGTAGTAAATATCAATCATGTCTGCAGGATTACATTGCACATCCACAGAGATAATACTGTAGCTCCTCACTAACCTGACATCTGGCCCTGAAAATATTTGGTTGTTTATTTGGCTCTGTGCTGTCAAAATGGGCGTTGGTTCTTACCTGATACGCCCCTTCTCGGCGAGCCGCGAGGAGCATCCAGAGACTGGGATGTGCTTCTGAGTCCTCTTCTTGCAGGCTGAGCTTTAGATGAGGAAACGCTCCGCCCCCTCACGTGGTATCGCGCAGCGTCTCCCCAGTTTTTTGCGATAACGAGAAGAGAGGTTATTAATTCTTTCTAACCTACTATTGGCTCCTTGGCTGAAGCAAGAGTCCCCACCAGACGGAGAAATTAGGGTGGGGCTGGATGCTCCTCGCGGCTCGCCGAGAAGGGGCGTATCAGGTAAGAACCAACGCCCATTCTCCCTCGAGCCGCTCGGAGCATCCAGAGACTGGGACATACCAAAGCTGGGCTGTCCTACGGGTGGGACTCCGTCTGGCCCGAAGGCCCCTCCGGATCACTGATGACCCTCTGTAAGACCCGTCGGCCAAAAGAAGCCTCCGCTGAGGCGTACGTATCTATTTTATAATGTCTGATAAACGGGGTCGGAGAGGACCAGGTGGCTGCCCGACAAATGTCAGCGATGGGGGCTTGTGTGGCCCAGGCCGCCGAGGTGGCTGCACTTCTGGTGGAATGGGCGGTTATTCCACCCGGAGCGGGCAGAGAATGGGAAAGGTAACACCTTGCAATGGTAGCCCTGATCCAGCGACTGATGGTGGAAGGAGAAACCTTAAGCCCCAGAGACCTGGGTTGAAAGGATAGGAAGAGGGATTCCGACCTTCGCATGGATTGAGTGCGCTTAATATATATACGCAAGGCCCTTCTAACATCTAGGGTGTGCCAGAGGACCTCCCTGCCCCTGGAGGGCCTAGGGCAAAAATTTGGTAGAACCAGTTCCTGTGACCTATGGAAGGGAGAGTTAACTTTGGGTAGGAATGTGGGGTCAGGACGAAGGACCACCCGATCAGCGTGAAACACACATAGGTCGCTCCTAACTGACAAAGCTGCTATTTCCGAAACTCGACGAGCAGAAGTAATAGCTACTAGAAAAACTACCTTAAAGGTAAGAAACTGAAGGGATGAATCCCTCAAAGGTTCGAACGGGGAACGTGTGAGAGAAACGAGGACCTTGTTGAGGTCCCATGTGGGGAACCTGTGAACAGTGGGAGGGCACAGGTTGGTGGCACCCCTAAGGAAAGATCTAATTCGGGGGTGATGAGAAAGGGAACCGTAGTTATCACAGGAGACCACGGTTGAGAGGGCAGAAACTTGTCGTCTCAGGGTGTTAGGAGCGAGCCCCTTACGAAGGCCTTCCTGAAGAAAATCTAGGATCTGAGCCACAGAGGGAGAGAGGGGATCAACCTGAGACCCGCTACACCACTTGCAGAACCCCTTCCAAGTGGCATCATAAATTCGTGTAGTGGAAGGTCGCCTGGCGGCCAAAATAGTGTCGATGACTTGACTCGAGAGATTCTCACCAGTCAGACGGATCCGCTCAACCTCCAGACGGCTAACTGGAGCCATTGAGGCTCCGGATGCAGAAGGGGCCCCTGAGAGAGGGAGACCCTGTCCGGGGGGATCCTCCATGGGGGCGCTACCGATAAATTGCGGAGATCCGCAAACCACGGTCGCCTGGGCCAATAGGGAGCCACCAGGAGAAGGTCTGCCCTCTCCTGAAGAAGTTTCTGTATTACTCTGGGAACTAACGGGAGCGGAGGGAAGGCATATAGGAGCCCTGGGGGCCATGGGCAGCGCAGAGCGTTGTGATTCTCCGACCGGTGAGATGGATACCGGGAGAAGAACCGTGGAAGCTGAGTGTTGGATGGGGAGGCGAAGAGATCCACCACCGGAAGGCCGAATATTCTGGACGCTTCCTCGAATAGGGATGGATGGAGACGCCATTCTGCCTGGTCCACCGTGGCCCTGCTCAGCCAGTCCGCCTGAGTATTGTCTACTCCGGAGATGTGTTCGGCTTTTAGTGATAGGAGGTTGGATTCTGCCCAGCGGCAAAGGCGCTCGGCTTCCCTCATTAGCTGGATGGACTGGGTGCCGCCTTGCCTGTTGATATGGGCCTTGGCCGTGACGTTGTCCGTGAGAACGAGGACGTGATGTTTGCGGATCTGAGGAAAACTGCGCAGGGCCAGATGGACAGCGTGAAGCTCTAGCCAATTGATGCTGCACCTCTGCTCGGACGGCGACCATCTGCCCTGTGCCGAGAGCGAGTCGAGATGAGCGCCCCAACCGGACAGGCTTGCGTCCGTAGTGACGGTGAGTCGTTGAGGTTCCGCGAAGAGGTGGCCTCTGTTGATGGCGGGATTGGTCCACCATAGAAGAGACGTGAGGACCCTTGGAGGGACCCTGACTCTGGCCTTCGAGTTGCTTCTTCCGGATCGTTGGAACGGGAGCAGGAACCACTGGAGGGATCTGCTGTGAAGACGGGCCCAGGGAATAATAGAGATGCATGACACCATTTTGCCCAACAATTTAGAGAGGTCCAGTAAGGCCACCCTCCTTGAACGCCTGATCTGTTTGACCAGGGCTTGAATGCTAAGGAACCTTTCCTGGGAGAGGAAAACTCTTTGAGAAACCGAATCAATTATGGCACCCAAGTGGTTGATTCGGGTGGAAGGGGTAAGTTGGCTCTTTTGCCAATTGACTAGAAACCCGTGTGCCTGTAAGGAGGAGAGGGTGACCCTGGTATCCCTGACTGCCTGGGATTTGGACGGGGATAGAATAAGGATATCGTCCAAGTAGCAGTGGAGGCGGACGGGAACGCTCCTGAGATGAGCCGCCAGGGCCGCCAGGACCTTGGTGAAGGTCCGGGGGGCCGAGGCCAGTCCAAAGGGAAGGGCCACGTATTGATAATGAAGGCTGTTGTGACAGAACCTGAGGAATTTGTAATGGGAAGGCCTGATTGGAATATGGAGGTATGCCTCCGAAAGATCTATGGAAGATAACCAGTCTCCCCGCCTGGTGCCTAAAAGAATTGATTGCAAAGTGTGCATTTTGAATCTACGCTGGATAAGGTAACGGTTGAGCCGTTTCAAGTCCAGGATGGCTCTCCAACCCCCAGAGTGTTTGGGCACCACAAAGAGATGGGAGTAAAACCCCTTTCCTCTCTGATCCGGAGGGACAGGTTGAATGGCCTGGATGTCAAGAAGATGATGGATGGCAGCATCCATTAGTGCACGTTTGGAGGGATCCCTTGAGGAGGGGGATGGGAAGAAACAATCAGGGGGAGCGGACCTGAACTCCAGGGCGAGGCCAAACCTGATTGTGTCCCTAACCCATGCATCGGATGTGGATAGGTCCCATTGGGCGGCGAAGTGGCTGAGGCGGCCGCCAATGGGGGGGGGAGGAAGGGGCTCTACCTTCTGCGGTAGGGCCTTCCTCCCGATCCCCGAAAGGGTCTCTTGTAGCCGCCACCGCGTCTGGATCTGTCGCCCGGGTCCGTGCGGTCCTGGGATCGGAAGGAAGGGGGTCTGGGGTATCTGGGCGGGAAGGGGGGTTGGTAGAAGGGGCGTGGAAAGCTCCTCCGAAAGGGCTGAGAGCCCCTGGCCTCCGATCTTCGAAAAAGGGAGGGCAGATACTTTCTCTTACTGCGGCCCTCGACCAGCAGTGGTTCCAAAGCTGGGCCAAACAGTTTATCTCCCGTAATGGGAGCGGTGGCCAGCTTGACCTTATTCTTTAAGTCCGCCTGCCAGTGTTTGAGCCATAGCATGCGTCTAGCCGTGACGTGCGACGTGATGGCCCTGGAAGAAAATTTTACCGACTGGTAAGTGGCGTCAGCCGAGAACTCGGCTGCAGCCACTAACTTCGCTATATCCTGGTGAGCTCTGAGATTGGAAGCAGGGATGTGGTCCTTGAGCTGACGTAGCCAGCGGATAGAGGACCTCGTGAAAAAAGAGGCGGCCGTAGCTGATTTAATGGCCCAGGCGTCAGATAGGTGAGCCCTGCGTAGCGCCTGCTCCGCCCGCCTGTCCTCAGGTTTCAAGGCCTCTAGGGCCTCACTAGGGGTAGAGGAGGAGGCTAGACCCACAATGGGGTCATCGACCTCCGGAATATTCAGAAGGTTAGACAGAGCCGAATCGAGATTAAAGAATCTCTTGTCTTGGCTAGAGGGAGTGGGAGGGGTCCCTGAGGAGGTAAGTTGCTTCGCTACCAGATCTACGAAGATGGGAGGGGATGGGATGACCTCAGCTTCCACCACTGGTTGGGTGAAAATGGAGTCTTCCGGGCCCTCTGGGATAGGGGGGGTTTCTGCAGTGGACTGGGGAAGAAGGCCAGAGACATTCTTGGCCTTAAGGAGGAGGGACTTGAACATATGCGGTTTGAACAGCCCCCCAAAGGAGGGTTGGTCGGGGGAAGGGTCCTCGTCCTCCGACATCTCCCCCTCCATGATGTCAGCCTCTAAGAGGGGTTCACTGTAGCGGGAGGATCCCATCCGGGAATCCTCTTCCTCTTCCCTGAAGTCCCCAAAGTCCCCTTCCTCCTCCACCTGGGCCCCAATCGGAGGAGGGCTGTCCCTCTGAGAGAGTACCTGATCAACTGGGGGGACCGGTTGTGGAAGGGATCTGATTGATATCGAGTCGTGCTCAGAGGCTCGCGGAGAGAAGCCTGATCTGGTCATGTGTTGAAGTCCCTCAGCTATGCCCTGGCGGATGGCTGATTCCATCCAAGCCCTGATGTGAGGTGGAACCTCGGAGGTAGAGGGTTCATCGTGGCGCAGACCCGCGGCTGTGGGTGTAAAGGTGGCTTCGGGGGTCCGTCTGGTCGGAGGTCCGGGGGTCGGGAGACCCTGAAGCGAACTGCGCCTAGGTAGGGAAGAGGGGTCTGAGGGGAGAGATTGAGCAGAGGTAGAAGGGTTTGGAGGAGGAGGTATTGACGGCTCCGAGCGGGACTCCCTTGAACGCCGGTCAAACTCTTTTTCCAACGCTTTGTGGCGCCTTAAGGCGTCACGTTGGGCGGCCTTGGAAGGTTCCTTGTCCTGTCTAGAGCCCTTAGGTTCCTTGTCCTGCCTGCGCAAGTAGTGGGACTTTGCCTTAGCCTTCAAAGAAGGACGTTTAGAAGGATTGTCGTCTGCCATGTTAGATACAAATACTAGCAAAGGCGGTTGGCTCGCCCAGATCAGGCCTGGATGAGGCCGGGTGAAGGTGAAGCTGGCCCTCTCCCCCTTTTGGAATTTTTTGTGTACAGAGATAACAGTAAGGTATCTAAGAAATATAGTATGTACAGAAAAATAGATACTCTAATTTGTAATTCTTCCTTTTCCTTTTGATAGCTTTTTTATCTTTATTATGCTTTTGTACCAAATGTATATACAGGTTATCCGTATATATTTACGAAAAAATATTATTGTACAAAACAAAAATTATTATTATTATTATTATTAATTATTATTTTTTAATATATTCCCTTTTGTATTTGTATTAAGTATATATATATATATATATAGATTTCTTTTTTTTTTTTTTTTTTTTTAAAATATCCGTAACAGTGAGAACTTCGTATATCTCAGTACAGACCAATCAGTCAAATAAACACCTGAGGCCTATGGTAAGAAAGAGCCTCTGGCAGCAGGCCTCCAGACAAGAAAAATAAAACCGGAGGGGGGGGGCTGCAACTTCGCCCCGAAAAACGGACTGCGGGAGGCCAACAAGTAATAAAAGAGCGAGCCAGGTGGAAGAAATGGGCAGCTAAGCTTTGACCCAAGGCCTGGGGCTCCAATTCACCGCAGCTAAGAATTTCAAAATGGCGCCCGACCACGATGCGGAGCCAAAATGGCGGCCGCAAGCTGAACCGTCGGGACGCCTTCGGGACGGAAAGGAGGGCTTTGCTGGTCAGCTCAGCGCCTAGGGCCCTAGGGGCGATGACCCTCCCGATCGGTGTTTAAGGTGGGGGGGAATCCAGCTGTAAAGAAAACGCGTGCCACAAGGCAACGCGGAGGCAGCGAAGCGATCTGATAAGGGTGGGGGGGGGGTCGCGCTATCGCGCTGCGAGCCCGCAGCTTTGCCCCAAGGACGGGGGAATTTTTCCCTTAAGTCCAGACCCTTTGCGCAGGAGGAGGAAGGAAAGGCAAACCTTATGAAGACGAAGTTGGAATAGGCAAGAAATAGGCAAGAAAGGTACGATCAGCCAAGGAGCTCTCTGAAAACACAGCCTGACTCTTCGAGGCTGAGCAAAAGACTGGGGAGACGCTGCGCGATACCACGTGAGGGGGCGGAGCGTTTCCTCATCTAAAGCTCAGCCTGCAAGAAGAGGACTCAGAAGCACATCCCAGTCTCTGGATGCTCCGAGCGGCTCGAGGGAGAACACTTGTCATGCCTAATCAATGTAGTGTTTCAGACATTTAAAGCTGCAAAATAGGCAGAAATGTCTACAAAGATAACAGGACAATCTATTATTTTTAGTTTCAGAGTAGGAATGAAGGGGCTTCATAGTTAGCAAAAGGAACTAACATGCATGCCATGAATAGTGGAACTGAACAGAACTGTAAAATCATTGTGCAGAAGTGTTTAATTTTTAAAAAATTCTTATCTCAAGATGTAATACAGTTACATAGATTTAATAATTATATATGCAGAGTAAGATTTTGAAATGAGTTAGACATATCTTTTTTTAGATCATAACTATGGGACTACATCATTTTATATACTGTATTAGTTTGTTTTAGCTGCAGAAAGAAGTTGAACTTGCTTTATAACAAATCAAACATACCATATCTCCCAGTTATCTAAGGAATGTTTCATATGAAATTGAAGGTGTAAGCAGCTTGAATTAAAAAAAAAAGAAAAAAACTTTCAAAATTTTAAATGTTTGTTTAAAGCAATTAGCTACCTGTTTGCTGTCTATCCTCTTCATTGCCATTCTTTTCGTTTCTCACTGCTTGCTGTGCAGCCAGTGCTGTAAGTTGTGCAGACTGTTTAATAAGGGAGACGCGGTAAAAATAATTCCTCCAGAACACTTCCTCCTTTACACTGAGGACAAAAACACATGTTTTTGTTCGTAAATAGTTACTTTATAATACTGGGTATACAGATTTTATGTATTAGGATTTGCCTTAATTGCCTGTCAATATTTTTGTATGTCATGGTTGTGGGAGTGCAGTCTGAAAGCCACATTTTATCCAATTGGTTAGGTATAGTTCATATATTTGCATGTAAAGTGGGAGGCAAAATATAAACAATGTTTGAAAAAGATGGAATTGCATAGATTAAATGAAACACTCTGTGTGTACACACACGTATATGTGTGTGTTTGTGTCTGTCTGTCTTCTCTCTTTCTCTCTCAGTCTTATATATATGCAATAACTCTCAACAATTAAGGTCTCCATAGAGTTGTGATGTGCTATTTTCTTCACATCAATAGGGAACAGGTTAGCCGCTGCCCAAAGATTTCCCACCAAAAATACAATAAGATCTCAATATAAGAGATCCCTTTTAGTCACTGGATGCTGTAGACAAACTGTATTTCCTGATATCCAAGTCTATTGCATTCAAAGTTAACCAGATGAATAAAATTTATACCAAATTATGCAAATTTTGTCAATTTGTCATATTTGTCAATATATATCATTTCTATAGTGAGAAATAGTACAAATATCTGATACAGAAAGCCTTTAAGAAAATCAGCATTCATAATTTCAAATGGTTTAACTCTAGCCTTGAAGAGACAATGACACATTAAATATCAAGGCTTATTTTAATAGGAAAAAAATAAACAGATAGTAATAATTGGTAGTTTTCAAGCTGTGATATTTCTTGATAGCTAATTGATTAGAAAATAGCTTATCAAATATAGGTAGATCACTCACTGTTTTGGAACAAGATCAAATCTCATTCTAGTCAGAAGCTCATCTTCTTGAAGCATTACCATGGCTACTGGATACATCTGGTCAAAGTCAAAATTAAATTGAACCCCTGCTGGTGGATCACGCAGAAAGTTTCTTCTATCCTTTATAAAATAAAATGTGGTTGACAGAGGTTGAAACCTGTTGTTACCTTGGAAAAATATTTCTCAATATGTTTTTTTGAGAAATGCATTACATCATAACACACATATGTTTTTATTTGTATTAGAGCTTTTTAGAAGTTATTACATATCTGAATATCTAGAATTCTGCTTTAGGTAACAAACATGTTTTCAAGAAATTAATTGCTTATGCTAGAAATAAGAAGCTCATGATAGCTGAACTACAGGTTTCCCCCCCATTCCTGATTCAAAAGATAAAAAGCAAAAAACCTGCTACATACTGCTGATAAGGCCAGTATTTGTTGCTGAATTGTTTCTTCTTCATTGCTGTCTACCCATGGAGGCACAGCTATTTCTATGAGCAGAAAAGGAGTAGTTATATAATTGCATTCAGCCATCAGAGACCACTGAACAACTAGCATCTTCAAGTAAAAAAAGCCTCTTGCTAAGGTACATCAGAAGAATGCTCAAACCAGTAACACTATTAAGCATCGAACTAGGTTATGTTAATTGAACTTAATTCATAACTCTATGGTGAATTCCATATATCTAGGGGTAAGAAGGCAGCATTTGTCCCTGATTATTTTTTATTTTGTCCCATAGATTATCTGATTCAGCCTGGGAGACCACAGTGAGAGGAAAATTGTAAAATTGTGCCATATAACCAATCTATATATTTCTAAAACAGAATAGTTGTGTATATACATGAAGATACAAGTATTGCACACATTTTATTTTGAAGGAAAGCTATATAATTCTTGTAGCAGGTTGATGTTTCCCAAGAACAAATAATAGCTTCAGTCCCAATATATGTACAAATAATAGGTTTCTGCATATAATTCCTGATCTTGGATGCACATGATTCCTGTCAATTTTACTAATTGGAGAAACATGGATCTGAATGTCTTATTCTGGATCAGGCATATTACCTATAATTTGAAGCTTTATTTTTTTAGTAATGAATCTGAATTGCAAAATCTCCAGTGAGAAGTATAATCCAGTCAAATTTCTTTTGCTGCCTGTATTCATTTTTATGAAGTTTAGTCAAGCGGCTGAGACCTTTAATATTAAGTTAGAACCCCAGAATGTTTATTTATCAGAGCTAATGCAATATACCAGGTGGTTTACTAATATCAACAAAATTCACATCCATGGATTGGATGTCTCCCACACACATGCATGCATTTTCATCCACTGTTCTGAAAACAGAACTGAAGTTGGTGAGATTGTATATATTTGTCTTAATTATAGGAAGAACATAAATATGCTTCTAAATACCGTTATTAGACAAGGATATTGTTTCATATTACCATACGTTGCAAGATAAAAAGCTTTTTCTTTCATAAAAATATTTTTGCACAAATAATGTACTACATTTGCAATTTGTAATTATATAAATATTGCTTTTTCATTTTTTTACTTTGTTGTATCATCTTAAACAATGCAACTTTCTATTTTATATGAAACTCAACCTTAATTTTTTCTTTTTCTGATAGACTTTTTAAAAAATCAGCTATTTACACATGTTATTCCATTGAATCTTGCAAGTAGTTTTTGCTTATGTGTTAGGAAACATCATGCCACCTTCCTAGTCCAATCTACAAGCTTTCTAATATGATTATTATTTTTGTAGCCAATTCAAAAATTACCTGATTTTTTGGTATGTTGCTGTTGAACAAATTTTTCTTGCTCCTTTTGAAAGTCTCCTATAATTGTCTACAACAAAAATATGAAAAATGAAAAAAATAGATGAGCATTTCAAAAATACATTTTTGCTATTGTAACACAATGTGGACAATTTCTAAAGAAAAACCTGACAACCATTCTTTATGTAGCCTGCAGGAGAAAGTGAAAAAAAACCCTAAAACTGTGTAAGGTTTATATATTTCAATGGTGCCCCAAAACAGATAAAATAAAGGGATTTCTGACTATATAGAATGTGCCTGCATGCTGCATGTGTTTTCCTTTTCTCTTAAATGCCAGCACTTTTTTATACTGCTCACATAAAAATTGAGAAAAAAATAGCTAATATTACTACTCTAAAAGAAGTGATCCAAGTTTCAAATAGTTTTTAGCATAAAAGTATAAAAAGTGAGCTTACTGCATTTCCCCATCATACTTTAAGCCACACAAAACACCTTCAATCTAAAATAGTGGACACCAAAAACAAATAGGGTACAACATATGTTCTTTTTAATGAATCCTGTAAATAAATGTTTCCCCTTTGCAGATCCTTACACTAATCAAACCTATGCTACTGTCAATAATATTAGCAATGGCATTCAAATTCAGTATTTCTGCACATTGATTATTATACCTTAAAGTTCTTTGCTGGTAACCATCATGTTTCTTCTTCATCTAAACCTGAAAACCAGCCCCAAAGTAGCTAATTATAATTAAAGTATTTCTGATGTGTTTGTCCAATATATGGTCATGTGAATTGGGCCACAATCATGGCTTATTTGATATATTCCCTATTCTATAGAAATTCAATAGAGTCCATGCAATTGAATAAGCATAATATTTAAAAGGACTTCATTCTTGTATTCAATCTGAGTGATCTATACAATGAAATTACAGGTGGTCTTCAACTTACAACTATTCTTTTAGTGAGTTTGAAATTACAATGGCATTGAAAAACCAGACCTCACACTTACAACCATCACAGCATTCCCACAGTCACATGGTCAAAATTGGGCACTTGGCAACCAGTATGTATTTATGGTAGTTGCAGCATCCCAGGAGCACGTGATCACTATCTGCAACTTTGCCAGTCAACTTCCGACAAGGAAAGTTAATGGTGGAAGCCAATTTGCTTAAGAACCACATGATTCACTTAACTGCAGTGATTCTTATAATTGCCTTGCTTAGCAACAGAAATTCTGGTCCCAATTGTGTCATAAGTTAAGGACTATCCATATATACATTTTAATTGCTACCAAGCTTATCTAGATAACTAATACAAACTTGTAAGATGAGTAGCATAAAGATGAGTTCTGAAGGATAAAGGCATCTTTTCAAGCTGAACTTGGTTTAAGTGACTACATGGACATAATCATATGGTTTTCTTTAAGTGGTTTGCCATTACCTTCTTCCTGGAGATTTTTCAACTTTCTATTCTTTCTATTCTTTCTATTCTTAACCTACAGACCTAGCCTTTCATGATGATGTCCCATTTAAATATTTTCCTGATTGGAGCCTGCTTAGCATTTGTGCCTTGGTGCTGTCATCTGCAAAAACTATGAAACTAAAAGCTTTCAAAATGATTTAAAGCAGAGTAGGTTAATAAAAATACCAGTTTTATAGGTAATTATTTACAACTAAAGTACCTTATCAATTATATTTTCTATTTTTCCTTCTTCAACAGACTTCTTTATAGTTTGTGCTGTTTCAGCAACTGATTCAGATATCTTTTTTGTAGCCGTTGTAGCAAAGCTGAAGATATAACCTTTTAAAGATAAGACATCATTTAAACTTAGAATATTTTCCTTCTTGTACTTCAGAAACTAATTGCTAAGATGAATCTGAAGAATATAGTAATTTAGATTTTTATTCATTCAATTCTGCTAGTGCTTTAAAACATGCAGCATAATTAATGCACAATTATCAGGAGCAAGGGAACATACAGAAGCCTGCTTCCACACAGTCTAGAGTTTATCAGTATCATTGATAATCTGGTGCATAAATTAGCATATCAACAACTTGACTTTAAATAATTTGATATTAATTCAGGATTCTGGATGTAGGTGCCTGATAGAGAATATTATGACAGGAGATATTCTTGAACTAACTTACATTGAGAAAGCAACTATATTTGGGATGGCGTTTTGATTTCTTTGTTAGGCAGCCTTGAATATTAAACTAACATTTCTTAAAATAAAATAAAGTATGACAAATCCAAGATACTGTACATGATAAATTCACTGAACTCAGTAACAAAAAAAATCTAAATTGTACTGTTTATTTATTTTGTTCATCTACCAACAAAACAAGGCTTTGAAAACTAGGATTTCAGCTATCCTATTTAAATAATAGCGTAATTATTTTTTTTAAAAAAATTAATTGATAACACAAACTATAAGTTGTTAATTGTTAACCCTAATTCTAAATTTTTCCTTATTCGAAAAACTCCTTTGCTGTATATAAGCTTTAGTTTCAACATTCATTGCTGCTATCATCACCAACACACATTTTTAAACATAGCTTTTCCTAGTAATATGGAATTGGAGTGTGTTGCTTTTTCATGTAGTTTAGAAACCAAATATAAAGGGTATTCCAACATCCCCGAAAAAGTGCTTGGATATTTTATACATTAGCACAATACCAGCGAAGAAGAAAATAACAGCTCTCAAAAGAAATCAGCATGGTTGCATAAAGAACTATCTGATAAACCGAAAGATGTTTTATCTTTCAAACAAGTAAAAAGGTGGAAAGAAAGACACAAAACTGAGGCAGAAATCAGCAAATAGCCCAAGCCTGCAAAAAGGAAGTGAGGAAAGCTAAGGCTCAAAATGAACTAAGGCTTGCAACAAAAGTAAAAATATAACAAAAACATTCTTTCAACATGTAACAAACAAGAAAAAAGTCAAGGAAACAATTGATCCATTAATGGGAGAAAGTGGTAAGAAAGTGACAAGCAATAGGGAGAAAGCAGAATTGCTTGTTTTTTTTTTGCATCCGTCTTTACACAAAAGGAAAAAACAGTCCAACCTATCAAAAACAGTTGATAGAAATAAAAGTTAAAATAGGCAAGAAAATGGTAACTCAAGACAAGTTCAAATGACCAGGATCAGATGGATTATACCGCAAGGTTCTGAAGGAACTGGTAGATGTGATTTCAGAACCACTAACTAGTATCTTTCAAAGATCTGGGGAACTACCAGAGAACTGGAAAAGAGCTGACGTTCTCATTTTCAAAAAAGGAAAAAAAATAGATGCAGGAAACTACAGATCTATCAATATCTGGGAAGATTCTGGAAAAGATAATCAAGCAATGAATCAGCAACCACCTAAAGGCAAACAAAGTCATCACCAAAAGCCAACATGGGTTTGTCAAAAACAGATCATGCCGGACAAATCTTATTGCATTCTTTGACAAAGTGACAAAATTAGTAGACCAGAGGAATACTGTGGATATAATTTACTTGGACTTCAATAAGGCATTTGATAAAGTAGACCACAAACTACTACTTGATAAGATAGAAAAATGTGGGTTTGACAGCATCATCTCCAGATGGAATTGCATGTACATGGAGGGAAATACACAGTGGGGTACTCCAAGGCTGTGTTTTAAGCCCAGTACTCTTCAACATCTTCATCAGTGATTTGGATGAAGGGACAGATGGGGAACTCATCAAATTTGCAGACAACACCAAGCTGGCAGGAATAGTCAACACTCTAGGCAATAGGCTTAAGATACGGAAAGATCTTGACAGACTTTGGGTGCTATCTAACACAATAAAATTCAATGGTGAAAGAAGTAAGGTTCTACATTGAGACAAGAAAAGCCAAATGCATAGGTATAATATAGATGGTACCTGGCTTAATAATAGTAACTGGGAGAGGGATCTTGGGAGTCCTAGTGGACAATAATTTAAATATGAGCCAGCAGTGTGCTGCAGCTGCCAAAAAAGCTAACAGTTTTAGGCTACATCAAGAGTCTTCAGACTTGGCAAGTTTAAGACTTATGGACTTCAACTCCCAGAATTCCTGAGCTAATATGACTAGAGGAAGAATTCTGGGAGTTGAAATCCACAAGTCTTAAAGCTGTCAAGTTTGAAGACCCCTGGGCTACATGAAAAGCGACAATCAAGATCATGTGAAATGATCACACTTAGAATACTGAATTCAGTTTTGGTCACTACGATGTAAAAAAAGATGTTGAGACTAGAAAATGGGGAGAAAAGAGCAGCAAAGATGATTAGAGTACTAGAGGCTAAAACATATAAAGAACGCTTGCTGGAATTGGGTATGTCTAGTTTAATGACAAGGAAGACAAGGTGACATAGCAATGCTCCAATATCTAAGGAGTTGCCACAACAAAGTGGGAATCAAGCTATTCTCAAAAGAACATGAAGGCAGGACAAGAAGATATGGATGGAATCAAGGAGAGAATTAAGGAGAAATTTCCTGACAAAACAATTAACCAGTGGAACAACTTGCCTCCAGAAGTTGTGAACGCTCCAAAGCTGGAAGTTTTTAAGAAGAGAATGGACCACCATTTGTCTGAAATGGTATAGGGTTTCCTGCCCAAGCAGGAGATTGCACTAGAAGACCTCCAAGATCCCTTCCACTCTATTATGTTATTTCCATAATTGCAACCAAAAGTACATTTAACTGAAATTAATTCACTGAGTAAATGGAACAGCCAAACACTCTATTTAGATGCGAGTAAGTGTTAGTTGAAGCTAAACAGGCCCAGCTTATACCTACTGCAACTTTATTAAATTTGTATGCTGCAATTTGTATGCTGTCTGACTCACAACAATTCTGGGCAGCATGCAAGTTCAATAAATGAATAAACCAATCTTTGACGTCTTAATGTCTCTTGTTGCCATCTAGCGGTCGTCCGGATTTTTGGTGCCCTACAGAGTGGGATCCGAGGAAACAATTTGTAGAAAAGATTGATTGTAGCTTCTGCGCTAGGGCAGCCTGTAAGCACGTAATAAGCAGATCATTGTTAAGGTGGGGCGAGGGTGGAGTTAAGGTGGAGCCACGGCATTTCGCGGAGGAACGAGAAACTCACTGCCAAGCCCCTTGGCCTGATTAGAGAGCGGGTCCATGTCCGCCCCCCCTTTCAGTTCCTCCTCTTCGTAGCGCGGCGGGGGCGCGTCTCTTTCAGGGACCTCTTCTTCGCCAGTTCTTGCTTCCCCCTTGGGGGGAGACGGCTTTCCTTCTTCTTCCGCCCAATTCATTCCCAACCAGCCACTCAGGCCGCGTAACATCTTAAAAAGATTCGCGTCGCTACCCAAAGCCGCCCAACTGTGTTAAACTTCCCCCTCAACGGTGTTCTGGGTCTCGGCAGCGCCAGGCCCAGGTTGCTGGGATGGCAGCCTTTGTTTCCGGAAGAGACAGAGAGCCCAGCCCGCCTATCACGTCATCCCAGTATGTCAGCAGCGGAACCAGGGATCTCGGCTTTTCAACGGCCGCGCGTTCTGCTTCTAATGAGCGCCCCCTTTGGTCCCTCTCTATCTGGGCAAGGCACTCCGCTGAGAGGAGAGGTTTTTTTTTTTTTAAGACAAATACGTAATAAATCGACTACTGTTTGTTTAAATTTATTTATTTATTTATTTATTTGATTTTCCAATTGTTTACAAGATAATAAGTATAAGTGTATACATAGTTGTGAATACATGAAATGGGTACATATAAGAAAAATAAAAGAATAAGAAACAATAGGACAGGGACGGTAGGCACGATGGTGCGCTTATGCACGCCCCCTACAGACCTCTTAGGAAAGGGGTGAGGTCAATAGTAGACAGTCTAAGGTTAAAGTTTTTGGGGTTTGGGGAAGAGAATACATCTGCCCAATACAATTTGCTTGCAAGATATTGTAATCTACCGTGATTGGTGTAATATATTCACCCTGCTCGGCCACAAATCTCTTTTCGTATTAATTGTGGTCAATAAAAACTAATTGAAGTTCATTTGAAATAATTCCAAGGGAAGTCTCAGAGGTACTTTTTTTTTCTTTTCTTCAAAAGACAACCGGATTGTTTTTCCTTGAGGAAGAACAAAACGTTTCGTTTCTCATCCAGCAAACTTCATCAGTTTCAGAAACTTCATCACCCCCATCAGCTGATGAAGTTTCCTCTAAAAAAAACAGTTGCCTTTTGAAGAAAAAAAAAACCACATTTGGGACAACTATGATCTAGATAACTGAGAATCTCCACAGACATAATTCCAAGGGACTTTGTCATTCTGGAAAAAGACAATCAAAAACAAATCCATAACAGAAGAAATAATCCCATATGCAATTAAGGGTTAGATTTTATAGAAAGAAAATAGAATGCAAAATAAGGCATTGCCAGCTAAAATTAAATTGCTTCCATGTATTATTTTGAAAGAGTCAAGTAGATTGTATCTAAATGGATGCAGATGAAATATTTGGCTCCTTTAATCAAGCTTAGCATCTATGGATTTAATGGATGCTCCCAGAGAGCTTTCTTGGGAGAGTTACAGAAGTGGTTAGTCACTGCCTTTCTGGGGCATTTTTGACTTCTGGTTTAAACCTGTAAGCCTGGTGATCTCCAGTGAAGCAGGATCAACAATTAATGATTACAGTTATCTAGCTTACTGAGAGCAATTGATGTCCACTTAAGTAACCTCTATAATGAATTTCTTGGCCATTACTTTTGAATAAAATGCATAGCAATTGTTTAATTACTCTCTGGGATTAACAGTGAAATGTATTTTTTTTTAAATGTGATTACTTGTAGAATAATAAATCTACACATATAACTGCTCCAACATGGATTTTACTGTTAATAAGAAGTCTATGGTCTTTGCAAATGTTTCTCAGAGATGTTCACTTTTTAAATAGGAATGCAAAACTTTTCCAAAAGATTGTTGGCAAAAAAATCTGAAATATCTGTCAAAGTACAAGTGCAATATATATTAGGCACATAGTAGATATGATTGCATTTGATTTGTTGATAATGATTTCATTATACATAAATTAAGTCACAAAATATCCTAAACCAGGAGTGGGGACTAGGCTCAACAGTCTCAATGTTTACATTGGCTTCAGTCAGCATGACTTCAACAATCCCAGATGCATAAAAATCATTGCTGTTCTTGCTCTGGCAAGATTATCCCATGTGTGTGTATGTGTGTGTGTGTATGTATGTGTTTGTATATGTATGTATGTATGTATGTATGTATGTATGTATGTATGTATGCATGTAGTCCTCGATTTACAACCACAATTGAACCCAAAATTTGTGTTAAGTGAGTTTTGCTCCATTTTACGACCTTTCTTGCTGCAGTTGTCTATGGAGATTCTCATTTATGAAGTAGTTGCTTTGTTTCCCCAATGTACAGATAGAAAAAGATAAATTATTCTAATATATAGACTACTAATATATAGGCAGATCTGTACATTGGGTGAACAAAACCACTTCATAAATGCATGGCACAACATGGGAGAACAAACCCATCAGGACAAGATTCAGCACTCTATCTACATTTAAAAGACAAAGGCTACTCTTTTGAAGAGAGCAAAGTCCACATTTTGGACAGAGGACTGCTGGTTTAAAAGAAAGGTCAAAGAGGCCATCTATGTCAAAATTTAACAGCCCTCTTTTACCAGAGGGGGAAGGATCAGAGGTGGTATTCAGCAGGTTCTGACCAGTTCTGGAGAACCAGTAGCAGAAATTTTGAGTGGTTCAGAGAACCAGCAAATCCCACCTCTGACTGGAGATTTTACAATATCCTTCCTCTGCCACACCCACCAAGCCACGCCCACAGAACCCATAGGAAAAATTTTTGAATCCCACTACTTGGAGGGATAAATAATGCTTACTGTCATTTGAAAGTCAATGGATCGGGAAATTATTCTTAGCCATTCTTTTTTATTTAAAAAATTGGAATAACGTACAGCTACTCTGAAGGACTGATAGACCAATAAAATTGTAAAATAGTCTGTGGAAATTAATTGTACAAAAATGTACTTTCATATTATATTTAGATATTTGACAATTATGTCAAATTATATTTAGATATTTGACAATATGTCAGAATAAGCTAAAATGCAGTTGATTCAGTTTGCCTTATAATCCCAGTCATACAACGGCTCTATTAATTGTTTAAAAATAGCAACTCCACCTTAAGTTCTAGCAGTTCCTTAGACAGTAAAGTACAGATAGTCTCAACTTACGACCACAATTGAGCCCAAAATTTATGTTGTTAAGTGAGTTTGTTCCATTTTATGACTTTACTTGCTACATTTGTTAAGTAATCATTGCAGTTCTTAAATTAATAACACGGTGGTGAATCTGGTTTCCCAATTGACTTTGCTTGTTAGAAGGTCACAAAAGGGGATCACATGACTCCAAGACACAGCAACCATCATAAATGTGAGTCAGTTGTAAAGAATCTGAATATAAATCACATGCAATGGTCATAAGTGTGAAAAATGGTCATAAGTCATTATTTCAGTGCCATTATAACTTTGCATGGTCACTAAATGAACTGTTGTAAGTCAAGGACTACTTGTAGTCATCTTCCAACTACCCCAACTGGTGTAATGGTTTGAGATTTATTTTATTTAAAGAGCCACGGTGGCGCAGTGGTTAGAATGCAGTACTGCAGGTTACTTCTGCCGGCTGCCTGCAATTTGGCAGTTCGAATTTCACCAGTTCAAGGTTGACTCAGCCTTCCATCCTTCTGAGGTCGGTAAAATGAGGACTCAGGCAGGGGACTACAACTGTTGTGCCCTCAGCTGCTATCAGTGCTGCTTGGTTTCAGTTCAGACCTTCTCACCCCCCACCCCCCCCCCCAAAAAAAAATTCTCATGAGGTTGGAAGGTCTGAACTATTTTTTTACCATAGTCCCACAGACTAATTTTGTTGCCCAGTACCTGGTGGCAGAGAACTGAGCCTGTGCGTGCATGTGCCCTCCTGTGCACATGCACACCTACTGGAATGGCATGGGCTGGCCCAAAGCGACGCAGGCTGGCCTCTTACAGTTTCCAGGATGACTGTGTGGGCCGGATTTGACCTCATCGCAAACCGGATTCAGCCCGCGGGCCTTGAGTTTGACACCCTTCTTTTAAATTGTTTCATAATGAAAATCTTTAATCAGCTCAATATCTATCATGCAGTTGTTTAAAGGATTTTTTCCCCAAAATATTTGGTCCTTTTCTAGTTTATGAGATGATTTATCATACTGTCCCATCAGTCAGTTTGTAGATCAGTCTTAAATTAATTCAACAAACAAAATCTCTCTTGATTAAATGAATTTAGTAACAGTGTTTAAACAGTAATGATTTAGACTTTTGACCATGGAAAGCCCACAACATATATAAGAATCCTCCCAGTTATAACCTCCAGAAATGGGTATTGAAAGATATACTTCCTCAGATATTGGATGTAATATATACCTGGGACTGGAAGCAATTCACAACCTTTTCCAACTTGAGTTTATCTTATTTTGTTTTCAAGCTATTGATTGTGCAATCAATATTGTATCTTTTAGAAAATCCTCACAGTTTTATTACCCAGTAGATGTTGAAGTACTTCCCCTGATGTCTCTATTCAGTCTCACAAGATGACCTCTGGTTCTAATATTATGTTAGAGATGAAGTGGTTTTTCTCTCCTTACGTTATATGCAAGTACATAAAACTTTATCACATTCTGTCATTCTTCCAAGCTACAACCTTTTAAGTATATATTCCTTGGATAGGAATATTAGTCCCTTTGCTATTTCTTGCTCCATTCTCATGACCAAGGGTGCATTTGAAAAATCCCTGCATCTAAGTCTATATAGTGCTACCTTGGTACTGGTTGTTAATTGGTTCTAGGCAGGGGTGAGATTCTACAGGTTTGCACCTATTCGCTAGAACCAGTTGTTACCATTCTAAGCAGTTCGGAGAACCAGTTGTTAAAAGAAATTACTGGCCTAATCCTGTAGGGAAGGCAGGAAGGAAACATTCTGGTGTTCCTTATAGAAACTGCCTCTCTGTTGACCCTTATTACATTCTTGGCAGGACTAGACTTCCTGTCTCAGGAATGTCTCTGGAGTTTTTTTCCCTTCCTTTGCTGGTACTTTGCTTGTGTAGAGTGACCATTCAAAGTTACAATGGCACTGAAAAAAGTGACTTATGACCATTTTTCACACTTACGACTGTTGCAGCATCCCCACAGTCATGAGAGGCCAGGCGAGGAGATGTGTGCCTCGATGTGAGTGATATTGAGTTGGCCACACCCAGCCAGTCACATGACCACCAAGCCATGCCCACCAACTAAGCCACGCCCACAGAACCGGTTGTTAAAAAATTTGAATACCACCCCTGGTTCTAGGAGACGTGATAAGTACCCAAATTTTTTTCCCCATAAGGAATAATGTAAATAAATTGAATGCATTCTCAAACCAAAGACAATGCATATTTTTAAGATAATATGTAAAATGATAGGGTTATATATCATTACAAGAGAAATAAACCTAAAAATTAATAAATATTTTGATTAAATAAAATAGAAACTTTGCTTTATCTGTACTGACGAGAAAAATGTGCAAAAATACACAAAATGACCACAAAAGCTAAGATAAGATTACATGGGGATGTATACAGGGGAAGAACTACTGCATGACTAAGGCATCATCTTTGTTCGGCTGCAAAGGGTAACAAATCACAACCAACACCGACAAATTCTAGCTTGAGTGTTAAGCCCCCAAAAAATGACAAGTACCGGGACAAAATTTTCTCATCAAAATGTGTTGAATACCAAATTCGATGTCTTTCAAAGTAGATGAATACCGGGGTACTGCTGTAGTTAGTTGCTTTTATTTGCCTGTGCTTGACAAATAAAAATTAGTCTAATTCATGATATGCAATTCTTTGTTTTCTCAATAGATGTCAGCAAATGCAAACATTTCTACCATGCATGATAAAATGAAAGTCTACTGAAAACACTTTCCAGCAGATTGTCTCAAAGGAGAGTCTCATAGGTTCTTATTCTGGAAGCTGGTTAGTAAAGGTGGTTAAAAGATGTTGAGACTCTAGAAAAAGTACAGAGAAGAGCAACCAGGATGATTAGGGAACTGGAGACTAAAACATATGAAGAACCGTTACATGAACTGGGCTTGGCTAGTCTAGTAAAGAGAAGGACCAGGGGAGACATGATAGCGGTCTTCCAATATTTGAGGGGCTGCCACAGAGAGGAAGGGGTCAAGCTATTTTCTAAAGTCCCCAAAGGCCAGACAAGGAGTAATGGATAGAAACTGAACCAGGAGAGATTTAACCTGGAAATAAGGAGAAACTTTCTGACAGTGAGAACAATCAACCAATGGAACACCTTGCCCTCAGAAGTTGTGGGAGCATCATCACTTGAGACTTTCAAGAAGAGATTGGACTGCCATCTGTCAGAAATGGTGTCGGGTCTCCCGCTTGGGCGGGGGGGTTGGACTAGATGACCTACAAGGTCCCTTCCAACTCTGATTATCTGAAAGGTGAAGGACAGCCCAGAAGTCCTTGCATCCTTAGAGACAAACAAACTTAGACTCTCTCTTGGCCTAACTCCTTTAAGCCTTCTCTCATCTTCATTATCTACCATCTTTGGCAATTTTGCTTCTCTTTGCTGCTGCAGTAACTTTTCTATTTCTCCTCTAACCACTTAACGGCTACCAAAATTTCTTTGAGACTACTTGGTGTTTACCATTTCCTAATCCGAGAGGTATTTGACATTCAGCTGTTCTCTTGAACACATGAGTTGCACTTTTTGTACTTTTCATCTTTGCAATTTCCTGTTTGAGATATGATCAGTCAAAATTATTTTTACTCATTTAAGCTCCCAGGAGATATGCTTAAACTTAAATGCTAGGCCTGATTAGTATTTTAATGAGAGACTTCCATGACAAATGCAGACTGGATTAAAAAAGAGGTTGAAAAACTTCAAACTCCTTGCTGTTTGGGGAATTCTGGGGAGTTGAAGTCCACAATCTCAAAGTTGCCTCTATTGAGAAACATTGCCATAGATGAAAGCAATGGTAAACCTTTTTTATATTATTGCCAAGAAAACTAAATCGATCTGAAAATTACATGACACAATTTCAATTCAAAGTATGCCATTTGTTTTTGTAAAATAAACACTGGCTGTTTTAATGTCTTCTTTCTTAGGATCCCCAACATTGATTTTTTTTTTCCTAACAGGAATTGCAACAACACTTTTCATTCACACATTTTCACCGACATTCTTGCATATCTATTTCTAGAATTAATTTTAATTAAATTAAGTAATTAATTCAGTTCCATGAATTAAAAATTCATTTGCTTGAAGTGGCATGTATCTTATATCTCTGCATCTTGTTTTTAAATATTCTACTATTTGTTAAACTGGTAAACCTTTAGCCATAATTGCACAATGGTTAGAATGCAGTACTGCAGGCTACTTCTGGCTGACTGCTGACTGCCTGCAATTTGGCAGTTTGAATATCACCAGGCTCAAGGTGACTCATTCTTCCATCCTTCCGAAATTCATAAAATGAAGACTTATATTGTTGGGGACAATATGCTGACTCTGTAAACCGCTTAGAAAGGGCTGTAAAGCTCTGTGAAGTAGTATATAAGTCTAAATGCTATTCCTATTGCTATTTTAGTTGTCTGTCATTTGCAATTTATTTTGATGGCAAATACATATAACTGTACATTATGCTATAAGTAAATGTATTTGTTATTATTTAATTTCTTAAATTCTTAATTTTAGTCCTACCGTGCTAAATGCATATTATATGCTATGATAGTTACTTCATGTGTGAATAAAGATATCTATATCTAACCTTTTCATTTTTAGGATTCCAGCTCAAGTGATGCAGCATATCCATAATTTCCCCATGAAATATATCCTGGTGACTGGTGGTGTCATTTCGGGTATTGGCAAAGGAATTATTGCAAGCAGCATAGGTACCATCCTGAAATCATGTGGCCTCCGAGTAACTGCAATCAAAATAGACCCCTACATTAACATAGATGCTGGAACGTTCTCACCATATGAGCATGGTATTTGTGGCATTTTTTTTTACAAAATGGAATTTCAGAATGTATATTTTATTAATTCCATTTCCCTTTTATGCACAAATATTTAAATAGAAATTTCATTTATTTCAACCTTGTTATAGCTTATTCTACTGCCTGAAGAGAATAAAATCTGATGGTCATGAATGGCATTTTTAAGGCCCTTATTTTGAACGGTATTTCAAAACATCTGCCTGCCATAGTCATGTGCTGTAGAGTTCAGATGGTAACATAATCACAAGTTTATACAATATGTGTCTCCACAAAATAATAATAAATCTCCTAAAAAATTAAAAGCTGTTGGATTTTCCATAGATCCCATTAAGTTTTGACAATCTCAAAGGATTTGGCATACATTTTTATTTATAGTTTTGTAGATTAGGTTGTTGTAGGATATAGGGTGCTGATAGTGTCTGGTAATACTGAGTCCTGATGCAAAGCTTCCTTAGTTTACTGTTATTAATAATAAAATGGTAGTAGCTCCTCCTCCTTCCAAATACGTAACTGAGGAAATGCAAGAAGCCATTGACAGTCAGAAAGGTAGTACAGGCAATACAAATTATAATTCTAAGCTTCAAGTCTCATGCATCTTATGTGACTGTTTTATGTAATATTGAACATTCTATTTTTCTATGCAACTTAATATTTATTACTATGAAGATCTCCAGAGCTCTAATAATTCTACTTCCTGCCATAGAAGGAAGCCTGCAAAATCTCAGTCAAATGGATGTCTAACTTAGTTTGAAAATTTCCAGTGATGCAGTATCGAACCTCTAAAAGACAGGCTTTTCAACTATTTAATAGGTCTTGTGGTCAGAAAATCCCTTCTTATTTTAAGTTTGGATTTCTGCTCTTTACCATCTTTATTGCTCTTTTCTACTCTCTTTTCAGTTCCTTAGCATTCTTTGTATTGTGGGACATATATTATTATATATGTACTATATACACACTATAGATATACACTCTGTGTGTACATATGATTATACATGTAAATAGTAAATCTACTGGACTCTGAGTTCATGTTTATAAGTAAAAATTACTCTAGAAATGCCTTCATTTTCTATTCCTACTACTAAGGAGTACTATTTAGTAGAACTTCTATTGTGTCTTAGTAAAAATGCAATATAGCATATTTTACTAAGTATTTCGTATGTTTCAGAATCACTGCTTTGTTTGTTCAGGTGAAGTTTTTGTACTAAACGATGGTGGAGAAGTTGATCTAGACTTGGGAAACTATGAAAGATTCTTAGACATTAGCCTTTACAAGGATAATAACATCACCACTGGAAAGATCTACCAACATGTCATCAATAAAGAAAGGCATGGAGATTACTTGGGAAAAACTGTTCAAGGTATCTTTGTGTTTAAAAAAAAAGCAAATTATTTCACTTCTTTCCTGAGATAATAGTGCATGTAATTGTCCAATTCACCACCTCAGTAATCCACGGTGGTAAATTTGTACAAACTCAGTTAATTCTAGCTTACTCAGTAAACTATATAAAAACTCAAGGCTTGACACAAATTGTGAAATAGTTCACTGTGTTGTTAACAATGTGATATAACTTTCAAAGATTAAACATATTCTTTGAATGTTTTAGACAGCAGTTCCCAATCAGGGACCAGTTTTGTGGAAGACAAGTTTTCTATGGACCAGGGTGGGTGGGATGGTTTTGGTTTCACTCACTCACTGTTCATCTCCAGCTGTGTGCCCAGTTCCTAACAGACCTTGGACTGATACCGGTCTGTGGCCTGGGGATTAGGGACTCCTGTTTTTACAGCATCAATGAAAAACAAAAGACAAAAGTAATTAAGGAAAGGGCATGTTTAAGTATAATTTATAATTATTTAAAAGGCCTGTCAAACTGGCAACCCATGGGCCAGATATGTCTTGTTCAGGCCATGCCCACCCCAGTTCCGCAAAGGCAAAAAACATCGCAATATGTCACGATTCATCACGTGATGCGATTGAGTTTGACACCTGTGGTTTTAACCAATTAACCTTTGTTAAAATACTTAAACAAAATTGATAATAAGACTCAGATTGATCCCAGTAAGAAGAAAGAAATCATGCCATGCTGAAAAGCACTCTCCTTAATAATTCACTTCATGGATATACCCACAGAAGGACCTCCAAAATTCAGTATTGTCACTTGATAATGTTCCCAAGCTCCATATTCATATATTGTATACTGAAAATACAAATGAGAAAACAATGTTCACTTCATTCTATCCCAATAACAAATCTAACTGCCCAGAACTTCCTTAGCTCCTTTAGAAGAAGTCCTGCATACAGTGCAATGCTTACAGGAACAGTATTCAAACATATAGCTAGTCATTTGCTAGAGAAATGATTGTCGCTTACAGAACTGAGGTCATTCTTTTCCCATGTATGTTTTCATTTCAATCCTTATAAAGTACTTTTTGAAAGATACAAATTGCTATCCTTAGTTACCAGGTAGCTATTGATGCACTTATGTTTGCACTGTATTGTTAAATTTTATATTAAAATATTCTTACTCAAGTTGCAATTATTTCTATCATTCAATAGTAAATAAGTTTCTAAGAATTCACATAGCAATTACACTTTATTCTTACTAGTTCATTTGATCAGATTACTATAGAATCTTCTAAGATCTCAAGAAAAGATCGTACTGTAGCTGTAATTGCAATTATAACTTTAATACTTGGAACACTTCCATGAAATAATGTATATCCAATTTTCTGTTGCATTAATATTTCATTTGATTTATAGTTGTACCTCATATTACTGATGCTGTTCAAGAATGGGTAATGAATCAGGCGAAAGTTCCTGTGGATGGTGATAAGAAAGAACCACAGATATGTGTAATTGAAGTGAGTATGAACTTTCTGTATGTAGCTATGAGCAAAGGCTAATTTATTATATTTAGTCTTGACTATAATTCCAAGAGACTCTTGGTGGTTTATAGGAATACAATTCAAACATCCATGGCAGCATTAAAGTAATAATACAAAAACTCTAAAAATCATAGAAAATAACCTGAAATCTTGCTATCAAGTGCTAAACACTTTCCAGAAGAGCTCTATTTTCAGCTGCTTCCAGAAGGCAATTAATGTAGGAACTAATCTTACCTCCAGCAGGAGGACATTCCAGAAAGGTAGAATTGCTACTAAAATGGGAATAAAATCATCTCACCTCAGGCTGGGGAGCAACTATGCCCCAACTGGGCATAGGCCCTCATGACTGCAGCTTCCACCTGCTGTTTCAACGGGAACTGCAAATCCAGAGGAGCCCCAAGTCATGAACTTGCTCCTTCGTAGGTGTCAGCCTTGCCAGACAGATTAGACAGGAAACACAACCTGGTAGGCTAAATCCAGTTTATTGTAACCTATATGAAGAGAATCTTGCAAGTACGATGAAGTTATAAACTTTGCATTGTCCCAAAAATGCTTCTTCCAAAGCTTTTCAGTTCTAACTCTTGGAGCGATGAAAAGCTTCTTGGATGAGAAGCAAAATGTTTTCATAGAAAAAAAATAAGAAAGCCCAATTTCTTTTGGAAAAAGCACCTTTGGAATAACCATGACTTGGATGATTGAGAATCTCCATAGACAAATTTTCCACTGTCTCTTTTACTGCCTGAGAAGCTAAAGAAGCTTCTTGCTCCATCCACAAACAGGCTGCAGGTATGCTGTCTCCTATCTGACTATTTCCTCTTTTGAATTCCAATGGATGTGTCAGCTGCTCATCTTTGCTTTCTTTGAAGTCGCTAGCAGCTGTCATAAGCAGGAGGGAGGGGGCATCTGGGAGGGAAAGTGTGCTGAAGGTGTGAAAGAATGCTATGGGGAAATGGAGAGTATTGACACTAACAGGAACCAGAGATGACAAACTGAGCCATCTGCCAAGCTTCAAGAAAGCCAGCCCTGTGAAAGGAATTTACCCTGGTGCCTGAGGCACCAAGTTCTCCAAACATCAGAACGAGACCTGATTGGATTGCTTTCCTAGGGGGGTGAGTTTTGAATACTGGGGATTACATTCAATATAAAATTTTCATGTGGTTTTTCCTCAGAGCTTGCCTCATCCACACTGCATTCAGCATCTCTAGTAAAAGTACCATTTTCTTTTTTTTTGGAAAAATACTTTATTAGTTTTACCTTTAAAAGAACAACACAACTACAAATTATGTACAACAAAAAGACAAATAGGCCTTGGCATAGACCAAGAGGGAGAGAGAGGAAAACCTAAGAGAGGGGAAAGGGAAGAATAAGGGAGGGGAAGGATAGAGTAGGGAAAACAGTTAAAATAAAACCATATTTTGTGACTGTCTGTAAGATCCTTTCTTCTTCAAAAGTATCATCTGCGGTGCTTTTCTTTATCTCTGCTTCGAAGGCCCTCGGCCATAATTTTCCTAGAGGTGATCTATCTTTGGTTTAGCCAATTATACAAAGGATTCCAATTGTTGTAATAGGATGAGGATTCTTTATTTTTTAGTGCTTGGGTTAGTTTGTCCATTTCGGCGCATTGTAAAATTTTCTGAATAACCATATGTTCAGTGGGAATGGAAGATAATTTCCAGCACTGGGCAAATGCCAGTCTGGCTGTGGTTAAGATATGAACCCAGAAGTACTGGCAAAAAATTAGGCGCTGGCTAGAGGAAATAACCAAGGAACAAATAGAGTACAAACCAGAGTCCTTCCTTCTAGGAATTTTCGATAAACAAATACCCAAAAAATCGAAGTATATTGTAATTCATATCTTAAAGTACCATTTTCTAAAACCTATGGAGTCAAGGATCGTTGTTTCCTAGGGAGTAGCTAGGGCCAGTCTGACAGTAGACAAGCGCTGCTGTTGCAGTTAACCAGGAGATCAATGTCTATTGAGGGGACTGAGCAAAAAATGGCAAGCCATAAAAGTGGCCTGGAGGAAGCTGTAACTTGTGAGGACACCCAACCAAAGAGAAGCTTGAATGGCTGGGGATCCATGAGGAAGCCCAGAAGCCCTGCTGGTTGATCACCCTGGGGGTGAAGGAGAAGGATTTGGAAGAAAATGTTCTGACCTAGGCTTCACAAAATCACGAAACAGACTCCTTGTCTTGACAAAACCCCTTTTTATTAGGCTAATGTGAATTCCTATCATTCACATCCAGCAAAGTCCTGGCAAACAGTCTTTCAAGGGTGAATTACAGCCACAGACCTTATCAGGGAGAGGGTTTTACAAACTTGCCATGACTCAAAAGCCTCAGGGCATTCGATTTTGTAAAGACCCTACACCTAGTCAAACGACAATTCTGGTAGCCATCTTTCAAAAAGGACATCGAAAGCTATGTAGCCAGTTGCCCAGTATGTATGTCAGCCAAAAGACAACCAGGGAAACCCATGGGACTACTGCAACCAGTGGCAAATCCCCATGTCCCTTGGAAATGAAGGACGACCATGGATCTGTGGACTTTATAGGGGAACTGTCTGAGAGTGCTGGGAACACCATAATTCGGGTGGTTACTGACTTATTCTCCAAAGTAGTCCACTTTATCCCTTGCTCAAAGATCCCATTAGCCCATACTTTGGTTAAGCTATTTGTGCAGCATATTTACAGACTTCACTGACAGAGGGGTGCAATTCACCTTGCTTGAATTTTTGAAACTCATGGGGACTGCCCAAGGCTTAAGCTCCTCCCACCCCCTCAAATGAATAGGAGGTGCGAATGAGCCAATTCAATACTGGAACAGTACCTCATATGCCATATTAACTATCAACAGGATAATTGGTTTGATTTTTTACTGTTTGCAGAAGTGGCATATAATAATTTAGTGCATAGCAGCACCAGGTTTACTCCCTTCAAGGTAGCTTCAGATCAGGACTTTTTAGCAATCCCAGAACTATCTTTGGACAAACCCTCATTATAAGAATGTCTACAACAATTACAAAACAATTACAAAATAACACACCAGTAGCACTCTTGAGAAAGCATGAGAAGCCTATAAATTACAAAACAATTACAAAATAACACACCAGTAGCACTCAAGAAAGCATGAGAAGCTATAAATGACAGACTGATTAAAAAATGTGCCAAACCAAAAGAATTTAAAATGGGAGACAGAGTATACCTCTCCATAAAATACATATATTGTACCCAACAATCCAAAGAACTGGGCTCTAAGTAGATTAGTCCCTTCTGAATTAACAAAATTATCAACTGAGTCACAGTACAATTGGACTTGCACAAAAACCTGAAAAGAATTCCCCCAGTTCATTTCACTGTAGCCTGTTCCCTTCGGCCACTTCCTCCCACACTACCCCTTCCAATTTTCATAGAAGGGGAACAACATTTTGAGGTGAAAGAAATTTTGGACTCTCGAAAACACAAGGGCAGGATCCAGTAGTTGATTGCATGGAAACAGTTCACTGCTCCCCAATCTGAATGGGTTGATGGACGCCACATTAGAGGTGACAAACTCTTTCATGCTTTCCACAATAAATAACCCAACAAACGTAAAATGTCAACCTCAATTGAATACATAAGATTCTCTTTTCTTTTCTCTTTTAAAGCCAACACCTTTACAAAGGTGGGCCGAATGTCAGCTACTCATCTTTGTTTTCTTTGAAGCTTGCTACCGTGTTTCTCATATAATAAGGCCGGATCTTATTTTTTTTTTTGAGCCCCGAAAAAATGGCTAGGCCGTCTTTTCAGGGGTGACTTAATTTCCCCCCCCCCTTGCATCTTCGGGTGGGCGGCGATGGCTTGGATGTTGACCTCGGCGTTGGTGGGGCACTTCGTATCGGGGTCAACGCAGGCAGCACCATATCCAGGTGTGCAACAAAAGTACTTCCTAATGGCAAGCCCCCCCACCATTCCCCCCATTTCACATGTTTTAATATAGGCCTTAATTTGGGGGGAGGGGCTTAATTTCATTTCATGCCTATAAAACATGCTGGGACTTCCTATTGGGGGAGGCCATATTGTTGGAGAAACAGCGTAGCAACTGCCATAACCCAGGGAGGGGGAAGGGGCATCTGGGAGGGGAAGTGTGTTGGAAGTGTGAACGAATGCTATGGGAATTAGGGAATATGGACACTAACAGGAACCAGAGGTTCTAAACTGATCCATCTGCCGAACTTCAAGGAAGCCAGTCCTGTGAAATAAATTTATAACAGTGCCTGAGGCACTGAGTTCTCAAAACATCAGAATGAGACCTGATTGGATTGGTCTCCTGGGGGTGGGGGGAGGGTTTGGGGCATTGGGGATTTTTTTCAATATATGATTTTTGCATGGTTTTTCCTCAGAGCTTGCCTCTTCCACTCTGCACTCAGCCTGTCTAGTAAAAGTATATTTTCTCTGAAACCTATGGAGTCAAGTGTCATTCTTTCCTAGGGAGTAGCTGGGGCCTGTCTGACAGGACAACTACTTCTTCTTGCTAGGGATCAATTTTTGCTTGTTGTTTCCTATCCAGATGTTCACAGCTTCCAAGCGCTGGGAAAATATCAGCAGCATGGTCCCAGATAGGGATGTAATGTTGAGTATCATCAACATACTGATGGTACCAAATACCAAATATTAGATGACTCTGTCAGTGGCTTCATGTAGATATAAATAGCGATATGAGAGGTGGGGGAAGGACTGACCTCTGTGACAACCCACAAATAAGAAATCATTAAATCAGCTTCTCTTACCATCAGCAATTAAAACCATCCTCCGAGGAAGGAATGGAACCAATAGACTCTGAGCAGTGAAGAATATCACAATGACATTGATGAAACTATAAAATGAAACCATAAAAATAATCTCACAAATTTGCCCAAATTATTACTGGGAACATCTAATATAGATTTTTAAAACATCCTTAAACTGAAGTATAGATGGAACTATGCTTTTTCATTTGCTCAAACTAATTAACTGCATATGTTATCTTTTAGTTGGGTGGAACTATTGGAGATATTGAGGGAATGCCCTTTGTAGAAGCTTTTCGACAGTTTCAATTTAAGGCCAAAAGAGAGAACTTTTGCAATATTCATGTCAGCTTAGTACCACAGGTAAGTATTTCTCATCATATGTTACTGCTTTACACATTTTAAATTTGATAAAATATTAATTCAGAGGTTTTTGAAGAAGTAAATGAAGCTGAAATTGTATGCTCTTAGATATATTCTTGTTGTTCATTAATTGCCAACAAAACATTTTAGACTGAATGATTCTAGGAAAGATTGGAAAGGCTTGTGTTGTATTTATTTCAATCAGTGAATAAACATTTGAAGGCCTTTATTGTATTTATATGGAACATTTAGTTAGATCAAACTCTAACCCTAATAGAGTATGTGTATTTTGCAAATACTAAACTTGGGTTAGGCCTTAGTATGTTTTGTAAATCAAGCCTGTTTGGTTAATTTCTAACAGTACATTGTGTGAATCCTCAGATGGGTCAATTCAATATCCAGGGAAGTGTGTTGTTTAAATGCAAACTTTAATTTCAAATCTATTTAAAAATAACACTTAATTGAAAGAAATCTATTTAAAGGTAATACCTGTAAAAGATACGTCCTAGGAATTATAGTTTGCTCCTCATCCATGCCAAACCGTCTCTTTTGTGTTGCTGGAACTACTCTTCCCCTGTGTCAAGTCCTTGGTCAACATTGATGACGATGCTTCCTGCTGTCTCATAAGGACTGATGCTGCTAATTGCTTGGAGAGGATGGTGGAGTTGACTACTGCAGATACACCAGGACCCTCTTGTACAAGTGCTCATACAGGACCTCGTTTATTAACTGCATGAACACTGCTGGGGATCCTTGTAGCCCAAATGGCATCAGCAAGAATTAGTAGCACCTGGCTTTCATGCTCTCTCACTCGGTAGTATGCCTTCCTCAAGTCTAGGTTGTTGAAAATTTTCCCCTTTGCAAGATGGCCCAAAATGTCCTGCATTAAGGGAAGGGGGTACGTATTCTCCAGACATATACAATTTAGCCCTCTATAGTTGATGCACAACCTAAGGGATCCATCTTCTCTTTGAATAGCACAGTGGCCACCATTCTCAAGTTCACCTATTGAATACATCCCATAGCTAAGATCTTATGTATAAATTCATGGAGCTGTCCCATCTCCCTGGCTGTCATAGAATATAGCTTTGCTTTTGGCAGCTTAGCCCTGGGTACAATCTCAATTGCACAGTCTGTGGGATGGTGGGGTGGAAGTGTGCCGGATTCCCTCTTGCCAAAAATCTTGGCCAGGTCCCGATATTCCTTGGGAAACTGGTTCTGAGCTATCACTCTCTTTTAGGATTTTGGCTGTTTCTTCTTTCACTTTCTTACCCGCAAGCAAGGCAGCTTCTTAGCACTTTCCCTAACTTCTGCTGGCTGGATGTTTTCCTTCATATCCGCTGTTTGTCTCTGTCCCAATTGACTGATGGGCTCCATTTCTTCCATCATGCCAGGCACAGGACCATGGCCTCTGTCACCCCCAGGGCCACAATAAAATGAATTTCTTTGTTGGTCCCGGCTTTTAGCTCCACAGGTGTGGTTAGGCATTGCACTGTCTAGCTGGGGAAATGCTACAGGTTTTCTTAGCTTCCTTAGCCTCCTTCCTAGTTTCTCTACTACTTGCGGGCTAACTAGGTATCTGGTGCACCCTGAGTCCAAGAAGGCCATAAGGGTCCCCTTTACTCCTGAGGAGGACATTGAACTATCCACCCTAGCAGTCAAGGGGATGATGGTGCCATTTATCATCAGGTCGTCATCTTCATTGTCACTCTCATAGAAGACTGATCCCATCTTGGCAGTGGCTGGAGTTCCCTTCCCCTCACTGGACAGAGGGGAGAACTCACCAACCTGTTGTCCTGCATGAGTTTTCTCTTTTGGTTTCAGCAGAGCTTTTTTCTTCTTCATTTGGCTCAGAGATGGGGGACCGTCACTGACTGTGGCTTGAAGCATTCAACAACTCAGTGTCCCTCCTTTCCACCCAAAAGCAGCCACCAAGGTTCTGGTGGGGTCTTCTTCCTCTGAATGGTGGCGGGCTCCCTCTTTCTCCCCTGAGAGCTGCTTGCCTCTTCATTAGCTGGCGGGGTCAAGTCTCATGCCCAGTGTGTTCATGGAATTCCATCAGGTCGATCTCCACCTCTGTGGCCATGTGGTACTATGCTTGCAGGTTGTGCAGCACCCTTCTGGGCAGGCAATTCTGGTACAACTTCTTGTTTAATCCTTCTCTGAAATGGTGGATCAACATCCATTCAGACCAATCTCTTAGGAGTATAGGCAGATGGCAGAAGTCTTGGATATACTCCATCACCAGTTGCTTCCTTTGCTTTAAGGAATGGATACGGTCTTCCATGCATCGAGCCGCCATAGGGTCTTCCATTCACTCTCATAGGGCTTGCATAAAAGCATCAAGGTCATGTAGTTCTGGGGTTTCTTCATTATGCAATGACACCAACCACTCTGAAGCGCTTTCCTCCAGGTTGACCATGATGACATGGACCTGAGTCACATCATATGGGTACATCACTCCATAACATTCCATGTGGTGCCAAACCTGAGCCAAGAAATGGGCTAGGTGACTTGGGTACCCATTGAAATGGACCATCAAAGGTGGTGGCTGTCAATCCTCCTGTATCAGAACATATTCAGGAGGTGGAATCCCAGCTGCCACCACCAGTGCCAGAATCTAAGCTGTGAGTGCTTTCGCTGGGGCCCCAACCATGGCTGGTGCCACCGGTGCTGCTAATTGCAGAGGAGGAGGTGTCGTGATGAAGGCGACTGCTGCTTGCGTTGGGGCTCCAACCACAGCTGTTGCTATTGGTGTCACCAGCTGAAATATAGGGGGAAGGGGAGTTACCAGGCCTGTCAGGGTTTTTCCTGGTGTCATTGCTGCATGAATCTCTACCAATCTCTCAACTGCTCCATGGACAAGCTGTGACCAGCATTTGGGATCTTCCACTCAGTGGGGTAGTCCCATTTGGCTAATTGCCTCACTTTCCATTTACTGTTTCGGACCATGTTGACTCTGTTAGGGAGAAGGGGGTTTTCTGCCTCCATTGTCTTGCCCACGTTCATCACCCAGTGGGTCTTCAGCCCCTGGTATGGGGCTTCCCTTACTCGTTCCTTTATAGCTGCGGGTGACTGCTCCAACTTTTCAGGTTTTTGCTTTGGGTGCATGCCAACAGCTTGCGTTCCTTCTGCAGCTTGAAGCAGCGCTGATTCCTCCTGAGCTGGAATCTCTTCTGGCTTCTTTTTCTCCTCTGTGTCTTTGGCCACAGTTGACACCTCAAGGTTGATCTCCTGGTGGAGTCCAGGTAGGCTTACTGAGTGAACTGGCTTAATGTCAACCGTCCCAATATGCTAGCCAGCAAAAGAAGTTCTTGAGACATGTTTTTTTCTCCAAGAGTATACTTTACTGAAAAGCCATGAAATAATATAGAAAGAAAGAAAGAGAAGGAAGGAAGGAAGGAAGGAAGGAAGGAAGGAAGGAAGGAAGGAAGGAAGGAAGGAAGGAAGAAAGAAAGAAAAAGAAAGAAAGAAAGAAAGAAAGAAAGAAAGAAAGAAAGAAAGAAAGAAAGAAAGAAAGAAAGAAAGAAAGAAAGAAAAAGAAAGAAAGAAAGAAAGAAAGAAGATAATAAAATAGAATGTAGGCTTTTTAAAGCTGCTGCTATAATGACTTCTGGACAATGCAAAGTGAGACAACGTGTTGATGTTAGACTAGTCATGCGGTTGGTTTCTTCAGTGCAGATTTAAAACTGAAGTTGGTAATAAATGCTATGTCTGTATATATTGGCTGTGTTTAGTAAAGCAGAATGCTGACTACCACACTTCACATAGCATTAGCCAAAAGTTATTTTACATACACAATATATTTTTGATTTTTGTCAGACCTCAACACAAAAATATTAAAGAAGAATTAATTATCACCAGAATAGGAAAGGGGAAACTAATGGGAAAGTAAATGGGAAACTATACTGTGAAATGTGTTGTGAATAAGGACCATGGTTAGTGCAGATAGGCTCAGCTGGAGAACCCCAGTTACTGAATGAAAAAAACAAACAAAATAATAAAAATAGTGAAAACTTTGATAGACCAATGAGGCCAAATGCCTATTAAATAGGAAAATGTGCAATTTAGGTCATTCACATAACATTGTGTGATTTGTTTAATGTTACTGTGGTTAAAATAAAATTAAGGTAGAATTAAGGTAATTTTAACTACACTACATTATCCAAACTATTTCAGATGGAATGGACTTGAAAGGAGATTGAAATTGAGTCTGTTGCATCCCAATTCTACTTATTGGAGGGATTATTAAATCAATGTTTCACTGTAAATCTATTAAATTTTAATTATTCTTATTCCTATGTGCATATATTACTCCATTGAAGTGTTTTTTTTAAAAAAATGAATGAATTCTAATTATATTTTTCAGCCTAATGCTACTGGTGAACAGAAAACAAAGCCTACTCAAAACAGTGTCCGTGCTTTAAGGGGTCTTGGTCTTTCTCCTGATTTGGTGAGTTTTAATACACTCTGCAATATTGCATCTGAAAAAAGTACAGAATTATATTGTTAGAATGGAAGTGGTATGTTTATAGTTTCACTAACTTGCAATGTATATTAGGATATTATTTTTTATTCAGGCAGCGAATCTAAGTGGGAATTTTCTGATTACCAAATAGGTTCACATTGTTATTTATATTAGATAAAAACTGCCTGATTAAGTATTGATGAGCATAACATATTTGCTTGCAGCGTGGCATATTAGCTGAAATTTTAAACAGAAGTATATGCAGGTTATCTGCCTGATGTAATTGCATTATATTTTTGGTTGCTCATTGTGTACTTATTACTTAAGTGGTGAATAAGAAAATATAACTTTGACTAAATGCTTTTTTGCAAAGATACTAGATATTACATGTTTAATCTTATTATACTTTTAATAAGATTATGGTGTCTAGTTTTGCTGAAAAAGGTCCTACATCATTTATTTAAATTAGGTAAAACCCCATAACTGAAGCCTATATTGGCCAAGTTCAGAAGCTGGTTTGGGGCCCCCAAATTTTGTTATGTAACAATGTATAAATTTCAACTAATTTTCCCGAAGATAAATGACTGTCTTTCAATTAGGAAGCACAGGTAGAAGAAAAGGCTGATTGTATTTGGGAGGGAAGTTTTCTTGGTTAGTAACTAGACAGTTTGAAAACAAAATAGACACAGCATAATATTAAAAGAGTATTTTTCAAATTCTTAACTATAAAATACCTCAGGATGTTTTTTGGATGAAAGATATTGGTTACGAGGAGGTATCTTAGATTATTTAATTGTGAGATTTGGAAATTATATCACAGGTTGTTAGGGTAAGGGATTTATTTTTATGAAAGCTGAAACTTTGCTTTTTCTTCTTTTCCCTTAAAAATCTTTAAAAGCCTTTTAATCAAACAAAAAAAGGAGGAAAGTACTACTTCTTGGAAAGTGTTATTCCAGAGTGTGTTGCTAATCTGTGTATATTTCCCCTTACAGATAGTCTGTAGAAGTACTAAACCTATAGAAATGGCTGTAAAAGAAAAGATTTCAATGTTTTGTCATGTAGAACCTGAGCAGGTTTGTAGCATTCTTTTAAAAATAATAATAATCACATTATAGTGTTAATTGATGTTATACTCTGAAATATTTTTTTATTTTTTGTTTTAAAATATTTTTCCTTTCTGTTCATGTCAGAAAATATGTTGAATAACAGAAGACAACAGCTACCTATTAGGAAATTCATGGGGATAATATCAAAATGCGGGTGGCATGCTATTTTAAAAAATGCAACAGGTGTCAGTGTTGCACTGAAAAGTCAGATTTAAAAAAAAACCTTTTCAAAGTTGTCTGACGCTGAAGGGGAATAAAATGATTTCCTGGGCTTTACTTCAAAAGTTTGTTTAGAGGCTTATTTAAAACTGTATTTGACAGGATGTTTCCTTAATACAGTTAAATAGAGTTAACTGGGCAATTTTTTTTACTGAGATAGAATCTTGCAACTTATAGCAGTTTTTTTAAATGCTACACTCTCAAAATATTAGAAGAGCATATGCTATGTATTGTAGAGATGACTATATAATAGTTTTTTTTAAAAAAAGAAAACATTCAAGTAAGTGAGTTTAAATCTAAAGTCACCCTGGAGTTGAATTTGACTCCTAGTATCCCCTTTTTCTCCAATAAAATTCAAAGTAAATAAAGGGATATTTGTGCATAAATTGATTAATAGATGATGATATGATAGTCGCTATGTACTCTTATCTTCATATTCTGTATTCTGCTGCTCAGATAATTTTTACTCTTCAATCTTATCCATGTTTCCTCAGAAATCAGCTTTGTTAAGTTTATAAAGATTTATCCCAGTATAAATAGAAATAAGACTGAAGAGTTAGATAAAATTTTAAGCATATTGGGTTAAGTCATCTAGCCAATCTAATGCTATGATTAGTTAATTTTTGGCTTTGTGGATAGTTCTAAGCCACCATAACCATAATTCTCAATGAGTTCATAATTCATTCTACAGTAGAATTATAGAGTTGGAGTGGGCTTTTTTAACTATTTAATCCAATCTTCTACTTAGCACAGAAATAGAAATGAAAGCATTCTCTTAATCAACATCCATTATTTGCTATGGAATACTACAAACCTATCTCCCCAATCTTCTTTTTTCAGTATTTCCAGTTTCTTCTAGTTGTTCCATGGAGTATATAAATCTAAGAATATAATAAGAAAAGAAATGACTTCCAACCTTCCCCAACTAGTACAACAAATTTAGTAATTCTTCACTCTCTCTAAAGTTATGAATACTTTATCCCATCTCTTATCTATAAATACACTCATAAAATATCACGTCAGTCATGTTGTGGGCAGAAAGTCTAAAAAGGATAGCAAAAAGTAACAACATATTTTATCCTTGATCAAATAAAACAACTTTTTTATTTCTAGCAGTCTTAATCTTTAGTTTGTTCCAATATTATTATATGGTTTGATTTCTGTTTATTTCTTCTTTGTCCATTGCAAGGCCATTTTTAATCATCTAAAGTGCAATTCATTTGGCTCTAGGGATTTAAAATCTTATAAACATATATTCAACTGATCAAGTTTGTGTCAATCTCAGTCTTCAATTCTGCTCTTCAAAGTATCGGGCAACACATATCTTTGTGAGGGGACTGTGCCAAAAAAGGATATAGAATGCAAGCAGAGTTTGGTTTCTGGAATCATTTCTAAAACCTTTATAGTAACAGTGACTGTAAGGGGTGTCTGAATTTTCTACTGTATAATGAAGTAACATATTGCATCTCCGTGTGTCTGTTAATGATGTCCCTTTGTGCTACTTCCCAGTGTGTTTGTGGGCATGTACATGTACTGAGAAGAACAAGGCAGGCTGCTATGCTCTACCTGTATTATGTGACCAGAAGAAAGACCAGAAGTACAGTGGAGCAGTTGGCAATATTTGCAAGCCATTGCTCAATTGTCTTCACACAGATGCATGGAGAAAATTCTTTTTCTGAATGTTTTTGTATTTATTTTAAACCTTTATTTTAAACTTATCTAAATAAGACTTCTGATGGTATTTGCAATATTTTGCCAACCTCAGTCATTCAGAACTTTAGTTTCCCTGACATCATTTTGTTCAGTTCTAGGCTATCTGTATGTACCTTCCTTGTTTCTATCTCTTTTCCTATTTCCTATATATGCCTTTTTCTGCCTTTATATCTTTATTACGATTTTTTATTTATAATCTCATCGGGTTTTTTTTCTTCCATTCCGTTTTTTTCTTATTAGAATTGTTTGCAATTGTTTTAGTAACTTCCTGTTTTCAAACCGTTTTCCATCTATTTCTCTTGTAGTGAAATTCTATTTATCATTGTTCTGAGATTATAAAGATCAGGCTTTTGACCACCTTTGATTTACTTTAAGAACTTAAAACATTAAACAATAATTATCCCCTATATTTCTGTTACTTCTACTTTTTAAAACAAGTATTTTATTTGCTAGTATCAAGTCAAAAATAGTCAATCCTTTTGTGCCTTTCTACACTCAAAAATACAAAATTATCAGCAAAAAAGTCAATAATTTTCTGGAAGGACTATATGACAGAATTTGTCTCAGCTGGTGTAAGGTATCACTAACAGTACTATTTGGTATCATTTTACAAATCTGTAGATTGTGTTGTGAAAATTTTATCCCTATCTTCTTGGTTAGGAAGGTAATATTGGATAAGGTAATGCTTTTCTTTATTTCCAGATACTTATGCTTTAATATATTCTCCAATATCATTAGTCCTATTATGTCATATTTACTTTTTCTACAATAAAATTTTAAATTCAATTCTGCATCTTTTCCGTATTCTAAATGCTAAGAAATAGTAATATAACAAATAAAAGCCATGGCTGTTTTGAGCTAATAGTTCTTGTGTTTTAATAAGCTGAATAGGTTACATTTTAGCAGAACTCCTTTTTTCTTTTTCTAAGGTCCTTATTTCTTCTACAACCCCCATCAGATTCAGTTTAAAGTGCCTTGTTATAATGAAACCCAACATTGCTTTGATCAAGAACATGGTTCTTGAGAAATTCAGCCCATCTCATCCTATTAGTCTGACAGTTAAAGAATTAAGACTACAATCTCCAAACCTAAATCACTCCAATTAACACCATTTACATAATCAATTAATCATGTGAAGTTCTCGTCTTCCTTTCCCAGTCTTATTCCATGAGCAGAGGGATGAATTAGAACTTCCCAGTGGTCTTCAATTTCCTTCCTAGATCTTCAAAGGACATGATATGGTTGTAGATGGTTTTTTGTACTATCACTTCTATCACATTTCTGCCATTTGCTCCTAGTAGACAACACACTACTCAAGCCAAGCCATGAAGTTGGCTTGCTTCAGTTCCTTATACAGTGTTACCTCAATACTCATTATTAATTAGTTCCAGGAGGTGTGAATGAGTAGTGAAAACAATGAGTACCAAACAAGCTACGTGACTTAACACATGACCTTTTGTTTCAGACAGAAAGGGTAGTGAGTCATGAGGCAGCCAACACTGGCAAGTTCTAGTTGTATGTCATGTATCAAACAAATGATGTGTATCAGGTCAAAATGTTCTCATCAAAATGCGTTGAGTACCAAATTTAACACATTTTAAAGCAGTTAAGTACTGAGGTGCTAGTGAATTGCCAAACAGAGTGACATCTCTTTTTGTAGTTATATCCCTTCTGCTCTTTAGGAAACTACTATCCTGTTACCTTTTTTACACTGTCTTTTTTTTTCTTCAAAGGTTCAGGGCATGTTTCTTCTGCAAAGGTCTAATGGTTTTTCTGAGTTCCACCACCAATGCAGAAAATCATCTGTGTTTTGTTTCTGATTGATGACTCATCCATTGAGCTTAATTTTTTGCTTAAGGATACCTGCTTACTTGCCAGTTCTCATAGTACATTTTATTTGTTTGATATGATCATAAAAGATGGCAAAATGACAAAAAACAAACAGCATCAGTTCCAAGAACAACATGTGGCGTTACTTCCGCATAGTTACATTATTGTTGTTCACCTACAGACAGAAACTAGTCAGACTAAAGCAGTTTCTTTCATAACTATAAATATATTCTGTGAACTGCTAGGGAGGGCTGTCTTTGCATTCTTCCTGCCTACCAGACATTCCAAGCTCTGCTGTTTCTTTGCCTCTCTCTTCTGGGACATTCCACCAGTCAGGAAGCAAAAACAAATGAATTCACATAACACAATGGAGATTCACTCATTATTTCCAAAGGCCTGTGCAAAGAGCTAGGTCTTCAAAGCGTGTCATGCCCTTGGTAAAGTTGGACTCTGAGGGAGAGGAGGAACAGCTGACAGGGAGTGGAAGTGTGGCTCTGGAGGTTGTGGAGGAGGCTGGGGAAGGGCAGAGGCCAGTTGGGGAGTCAGAGGAAGAACCAGGCCCATCCCCTCTGCATCTTAGGACACGCAGGGAGGAATGGGGAAGGAAACAACTTGGCTTATGAGAGAGGAAGTGGCCATGATCCCCCTCATTGGTGGCAGCTGGGGAGAATAGTATATAAGAGAAACATTAAAACAAATAGTGTTGCCAGAAGCAAAGTGTGTTCTATTTTGGGCTGAAGTTATCTTGGTTGGCGTCCTTCCAACAGACTGCCTTGTTATCTCCTTGAATTTGGTAATTACTTATCCTGGTCCATTGTGGAAATTTCTTCATTGTAGTTTGTTTGGTTTTTTATTTCACCTTTATCTGCTCATTAAGTTCGGACTGTATTGCTTTCTTTTGAAGACTATTTTTGAGTAAGTTTAATCTCCAACTGAGAATTATTGAACAGTGGGGCCAAGTTGGAGGCTTTAAAGGACATTTATTTACGTTTTGGATTTTGTTACATTTGTGTTACACTCTGGGTCATCACATAGCCCATAGCAAGCCCATCAGCAAAGTGTGTCTGGGGGTATCTGAACCTGGAGGGGTGGACCTCATTCCAGAGGGCAAATGTTATTACAAAGAAGTCTTACAGATTGAAATCAGACTTACAGATAGAGTTGGAAGGGACCTTGTAGGTCATCTAGGCCAACCACCACCACCACCCCGCAAGCAGACCCTACACCATTTCTGACAAATGGCAGTCCAGTCTCTTCTTGAAAGCTTCCAGTGATGAGGCTTCCACAACTTCTGATGGCAAGCTGTTGGTTAATTGCTTTCACTGTCAGAAAATTTCTCCTTATTTCCAAGTTGAATCTCTCCTTGTTCAGTTTCCATCCATTATTCCTTATCTGGCGCTTAGGTGCTTTGCAAAATAGCTTGACCCCTTCTTGTGGCAGCCTCTCAAATATTGGAGCATTGCTATCATATCTCCCCAGTCCTTCTCTTTGCTAGACTAGCCACTAGATTAACCCAGTTCCTGCATTTGTTCACCGTATGTTTTAGCCTTTAGCCTCCTAATCATCTTAGTTGCTCTTCTTTGCACTCTTTCTAGACTCTAGAGTCTCAATATCTTTTTTGACGGTGTGTTGACCAAAATTGTATGCAGTATTCTAAGTATGGTATTGCTAAGGCTTTATAGACAGGTATTAGTACCACACTTGATCTTGATTGTATTCCTCTGTTAATGCAACTTAGAATTACATTGGCTTTTTTGGCTGTCACTACACACTGTTGGTTCATATTTAATTGGTTGTCCACTAAAACAAGACCCCTCTCACAGTTACTGCTATTAAGCCTGGTTTCACCCAGTCTATATGTGTATTTTTGGTTTTGCTTGCTGAAATGTAAGACTTTACTTTTCTCTACATTGAATTTCATTTTGTAAGATTGGGCCCAGTGTTCAAGTCTGTCAAGATCCATTTGGATCTTGAGCCTATCATCAAGGGTGTTGGCTATTCCTGCCAGCTTAGTATCATCTGCAAATTTGGTAAGTTCCTCTTGTATTGTCTCATCTAAGTCATTTATGAAGATATTGAAGAGTAGTGGGCCTAAAATGGAACCTTGTGGTACCCCACTGCTTCCTTCCTTTCATGTAGATGTAGTAGCATTAAGGACTATGTTATGTTTCCATGGTCCACATAGATGGCATTGTTTAATTAAAGGAACACAGAACACACCAAACAGATGAAACTGATTATGCAGATGTTATGGGAGATAGGAGGTCCCTAAAATAATCAGGCACTACACCATAACCTGGTTCATCCTTTTTGAATTTGTGGAGCTAAAGGAAATATTTATTCACATACACACGCACACACACACACACACACACACACACACACACACACACACAGAGAGAGAGAGAGAGAGAGAGAGAGAGAGAGGTTCCTTGTCTATTTAGTTTTAAATTTACACTATTAATAATTGAAATTCATATTTTTTAGGTAATATTCATCCATGACGTTTCTTCCACTTACCGAGTGCCAATCCTTTTGGAAGAACAAGGCATAATTAAATACTTTAAAGAGAGGCTAAGCCTACCAATTGATGACCAACCAAGTCACCTTCTTTTCAAATGGAAAAAAATTGCAGATAGGTATATTTCCTTGTTTGTTATCTTGATTTCTCTTTTTCCTCTGCATTGTATTTGCACCTGAAAATCTTTTTGCAAAATTGAGCAAGTAGGATTTATCAGGTCCCAGGCTTTTAAGAGTAGTTTGTTTGTTTCAGTGTTTTCGTAAGTAATGTATAATATGGTAAGATGACATAATAAGAACGTATTTGCAGTATCTTTTGGTATTATATATTATGTTACAATACAATACAATATTGTAATATTGTAAATTTACAATATTGTAAAAAAACAATACAATATACAAAAAAGTATATTATGCATATATTATGCAGTATATTATGTTACAATACTGATGGTGCCAAAATGCAAACTTTTTACCCAAGAAGTTTCCATAGAAAAATTCTGAATAGGAAAGTATGAGGTAAAAGCACCAATTATGATTTTTACATTTTAGAACAAGGCAGAGGAAAGCCAGTGTGGTGTAGAGATTAAGGTCTATAGGACCTACTAGGAGCAGGGAAAGTCAAATTTTAATCTTTTTAAGCATGAAAACCAGGTAGATAAAGTTGGGCCAGTGATTTTCTCTCACCTGTACTGAGCATTAGATTCTGTGATAAGGTAGCTGAAAAACAACCCCCTCTCATGATGTTGCATCATGCACTGATAAATTTCATTGTTAAGAACAAGGTGAGCTCAGTGCAAAAATAAATGGAGATTGAAACTATGCAGTTATAGCTCAAGGCACTTCAACCTTACCATTAGTTTCATTCCCAAAGCTCTCATCTCTTATTTTCAGTCAGAAATGCTGAAAATTTTTTTTTGTTAAAGTAAGGAGCAACAATCTGTGCTCAAACTTAAACACTTACAAAAGTCATTTAATGATCCTTAAAAGGAAAGAAAGAAAATTCCCCTATGCTTGACACTTTGCATGACTCTATCTGTGCTGAAGAAAATGGAAGGACATAATTAAAATATTAATTTTGCTTGTTCGTTTTCTTTGAGCTGTTGAGAGGGACCTGCAAAGATGTCACACACTATCATTTTATTTGAGGGATCGCTTTCCCCAGGTAACATTTGCCCACCCCATTAGGTCTGACAGGAGAACTGTGTTCTGGATCCTACCACTAGACCAAGGCTGTCAAACTCATAGGCTAGATGCGTCACGTGCTGGCCATGCCCGCGCCCGATTTAGCAAAAGGGAAAAAAGTCACGATACGTGACGACACAATGACTCTGTGACTTTGACACACCTGCACTAGACGGTGTTTCTCAACCTTGGCAATTTTAAGATGTGTGGACTTCAACTCCCAGAATTTCATAGCCAGGCATTCCTCAGAAACACTGTGTTAGAGATTGCCATGCGGCAGGATCTAGGAAGGGAGCCTTTTGTGGGATATCATTCTCCCCCTCCAGAAGATCAGATTGGTCCCACCGCTACTGATTTTTTATAAGGCCTTAAAGAGATGGCTTTGCAACCAGGCTTCAGGTGTTCATTGCTGATAGTATATATATTTTTGCTGCCAATTATATTGTTTTTATGTGGCTTTTATTTATTTTTCTTTCTTTAAATTATGCCTTGTTACATTCTCCAAAGAATAAAATATATATCAAGGAAAAAATGGAAAGAAAAATGTGTCTAGGTTATATTCATTTCTTTTATTTTTAACTATTGTAAGCTGCTCAGGCTCACGTATTTGAAATGGATGGCTATATAAATTGAAATAATAAATTAATAATGAATAGTTTCTATCAACAAAAGCTAAGAAGACTAAATAAGGGTGAGGAATTACGAGATAAAGCCCCTGCATCAGAAAACAATCCAAAAACCCACATTTTTATAGCAGATTTATTTATACCACACATGAAATAAATAGATTCAGTTTCTTCAAAACATCTAACTGGTGCATAAACCTCATGTGGAGTTTCTATTAATGTAATTTCTCTTTGTTATGTTATTCCCAACTGCCCTATTTTCTTTTCTCCTGAATCATAATAAATAACTGAATCAGCTTTTTATCTGGGGAGGTGTAAATTATTCCAATTGAGCATAATTGTTGAGGTAATTCCCCGTTAGGAGAATGAGCGCATACAGGGAGACGTAGTGAGAGAAGTGTTTGAATAATTTACACACAGCACACAGATACACTGTACAGTAAATGTAGGTTTTTACTTCTAGAAACATTTAAGCAAAGTTCAAACACAGTCCAAAGTCATTCACAGGTAAATCAGTCAGTGTTCAATTCAGGGATAATCCAATAACAAAGTCCAGTATCAAAAAACAGTTCAGTAACAGACTTACATCAAATCCATGAATAACAGTCAATTAGGAGGAACGGCAATACTCTCCAACAGAAGGAAAAAGAGACTCACTGAGAAACACTCTCTTCTGAGACTAAGACTAACAACCCAGGTTTCTGGCTCCATCTTATGGCCGTTTGAAAAACCACACTCAATTACAATTTTTGCATTTTGTTAAAGATACAGTATTAAAATGTTTATCCTGGTTTATATATTTTCAACCCAAATAGCTGTTAGGCAACTTACATTCCTAACAATAATGTTATTTAATAATAAATTAGCCATCAAGCCATTTATAAATATATTTGTGCAGGGCTTTCATTTTCTAAGATGGCTTGAGTAAATTCAGAGGAAGAGGACATTCAAATGGTGATACTACTTCAGCTATACATAGGATAAACTGGAAGGTTTTTGTGTTTAAAAATATTTCAAGCTTCTGTTATTTTTTTTCTTTTTTACTGGGAGAGTGAACCTTGATTATACTACAGCTGCTAGCAATCTGTTTTTGACACTTAAGAACATGGCTTCCCCTGTTTTAAATACACACACACACACACACACACACACACACACACACTAACGATATCCAATCCAAATTTATAATACTTTAATACCTGCTGAAATATTTGGAAATCTGTATATTATTTGATACTTTATATTGACAGGTATGAGAGGATGCTAAAGAGCTGTTCTGTTGCTCTAGTTGGGAAGTATACAAAACTGAGTGATTGCTACACCTCTGTTTTCAAGGCGTTAGAGCATTCAGCTATAGCAATTAATCACAAGCTTGATCTAATGGTGAGAATCAATCATTTTTTTCCTTTCATTATTTCTTTGTGTTTTGTAAGTATCCTGAGATGTTTCTAAGGTTTCTTTTTTCAGTAACATGTGCTCTTTAATATCTTTTGCTGATCTCTTGCACATTTTCTAAAGTAGTTTAAGTATATGGTTTTGTCCTGAGAGTTGTTATAATAATTTCAGTACTGGAATTTCTGAAAGATAAAGAAAATCCCATGTTCCTGAGAAATATTTTACTTCTTGATTAATATTATTTTATTTATTCATTTATAAAATGTATACACTGCCTATCTCACTAAAGTGACTGGTTGGTTTAACTGATATATTAATCCTACTCACAATTGTATGCATTAAGATAATGTTTTTACATGCGGCTTAGCAGTGTCAGGTCCACCATCTTTGGCTTGGCACCACCTGGCATCCTGCTATCAAAGGATGGGCAATAAAGCTATATTCATTTTTATTTGGGAATTTGGGAGTGGGGAATGACAGTTGAAGAAAGGCAGATCAATGTGGAACTAGTTCATGCCAAGGCATCTTCAAGACAATTTGCCTTGAAAGTTACCAGCCCAAACACCTCAGTTACCAGCCCAAACACCTCAGTGTTTCCAAAACATCCAGACAGCATTGCATTGGCTGGATTTGATTGGTCATGGGGGGAGGGACAGAATTGAAGAAAATCATTTTGTGTTGATGTGCTGGAAAATAGATTCCACCTGACTTTACTGCAACCACCATCTCTTAGTAAAAGTACCTTTCACTTCAACCAAATGAAGTCAAGGGTTTTTCTTCCGAGGGATCAGTGGGGAGGTCTGACATTAGACAGAATCTGCAATTGTGGTCAAACCAGAGAGGACATCCCCTCTACCATGGGGACCCTGCACATGATGTTGGCTCAAGGGAGTGATCAGAAAGAGATAAAATGATAAAGGGAGGCTTTGTCCAGTTCTCCTCCATGACTGGATCTATCTGAGTGGACTGGAAAAGCAGAAAGCTGTGGTCACCCACTGAGACCCTGCTCAACTCACTTCTCTGCAGGGTTAGCATCGGCGTCAAGTGTAATGGGGATCCCCAGCAACTGGGATACTTAGTCCAGGTTTTGACCTACAAGCAGGAGTATGATCTGGAGATAACTACGGAAGACAGCAAAGTGAGGTTTTTTCACCATGGCCCTAGAAGGGCCGTGGCACAGTGGATGGTCACTCTCCACAATGATGATGCCCCAGAGCTGAGAAACTTCAACCAATTCATGGCAGTGCTGTGCAAGTGATTTAAGGACCTCCTGGCCAATCACAAAGTTACAGACCATTAGCCAGGGACAGAGAAAGTTGGCTGAGTACATCCATGAGTCTCGCAACCTGGTTTGCAGGCTCACCGACTGGTCACAAAGCATCCTGATCAGATTCTTCAAAGACGGGCTGAGCGATGAGGTCTGCAACACCTGCATCTCCAGGAGCACTCCCCCCTATGTTTCATGGCTGGTACATTCTGGCAGAGGAGATGGAAATTGACCTGGCCTGAAATAAATATCTCCCAGTGTGGGTGGAAAAAATCCTTTCCGGAGAAGAAGGAAGTCCCAAAAGTACAGCCAAGCATCCACTCTCCACCACCTGTTTCAAGGGCAAGAAGGAGGGATACTAGGCCACTGAATGCAGATCCAACCATCCTGCCCAAAAGATGGTCCCAGGTCCCACCAAGAAGCCTGCCAAGCTGCCACTGCAAACCTGTGAGATGGTCTTGGAAGGATTGGAGGTTGTAAAGTTCACCCCATTCCCCCAGAATGGTGAGAGAACTCCGGCTGATCAGCAGAGGACCCTGTGGAGAGTTAATGATGACCGCCTGGTAAGTGGCTCAGTTACACAGTGACAGTCCCCATTGAACTTGTAGTTCAATTCCCAGGATGAAAAGTGAATCTACTGGCCCTTCTGGACTCAGAGTGTACTAGATGCCTAGTCAGCCCTGTCCTGATTGAAATGCTAGGAATGAACTTGGACCACTCAAGGTGCTGGTGGCATTTTACCAGCTAGATGGCTCTGTAGTGAGAGGAGGATCCCAGCAACGTTAGTCACTGAGCCAATATAAATGTAGATGGATCGCACACAGACACTCGCACACAGACACTCTTGAGTTTTATTATAGCACCTGATGCTAGGATTAGCATGGCTATAGAAATGGAACCACTATGTAAACTGGAGAAGGGGGCTGCTTAAAATCTGATGGGCTGAAGCAAAAGGAGAGCCTGGAGGGGACCTTAAAGCCAAGACAGGGGGTGGGGGCTGCAGTGCAGGACTGGAAGAAAGCCAGCCCTAGAATTCCTCAGGAATATCGGGACTTGTGGGACGTGTTTAGTGAAAAGACCTGAGACAAGCTCCCACCCCACTGGCCAACTGAATGCTCCTTGGAAATCCTGCCAGGTATTAAACTGCCTAATCCCAAACTATATTCAATGACTCCTAGGGAACTGGAGGAGTTTGAACTTTTATAAACAAAAATTTAAAAAGGGGTTTCATTCAACTGGCCTGACCCAGGGTGGCTGCCCTGGTCCTGTTCGGGGCGGGGGGAGGATAGGTTCCTTCGTCTGTGACTAAAGAGGACTAAATGGAATGTGTGTTGGAAATGGAATGAGACTTTTAGGTTCCTGCCCTTGGCCACGCTTGCCAGGGTTCCACCTCTGTGCATTAACCTCTAGCTTTTCTCCTTGGCTGACCAACCCTTAGCTGTTCACAATGGCCAATGGGCCAGGACCCCTCTGTTCCACGTGCTTCGGCACAGCCCATTTGCCAAAACAGCTTTTGTCTCGGATTTTCGGCTGCTTGGGACAGTTAGCCACCAGCCAATCGGCTAACTGCCAATGCTGGCAGCCAGATGCCACAGTGCAAGCGATTGCAGGGGCTAGGGGGCTTTGGGGGAGGTGCTGCAGCTAAACGGCCTCAGGCGCTTGTTAGGAGAAGGAAGAGGAGGGGGTGGAAGGTCTTCTGTACCTGATTTTTGCCTCCCTGACACCGAACGGGCAGTGTTTGTTGCTGTGACTGCCATCTGGGTTTGGTTGGAAGGGAAGAGCGGGGGTGGGGGGGAGGTAAGTAAGCCAGTTCCATCCAAGGGAGTTTTTGTTTCAGGTGGGTATCCTAGCCTTAGAAGGAGAGAGGGAAGGAGGAAGGGAAGGGAAGGGAAAGAGAAAGAGAAAGAAAGAAAGAGAGGGAGAAGGGAGACAAGAAAGAAAAGAAAGAAAGAAAGAAAGAAAGAAAGAAAGAAAGAAAGAAAGAAAGAAAGAAAGAAAGAAAGAAAAAAAAAGAAAGAAAGAAAGAAAGAAAGAAAGAAAGAAAGAAAGAAAGAAAAAGAAACAAGAAAGAAAGAAAGAAAGAAAGAAAGAAAGAAAGAAAGAAAGAAAGAAAGAAAGAAAGAAAGAAAGAACTTTGGGCTGCCACTGCTTCCGCCACCAGTTCTGTGAGGACCTGTACCAGGTGCAAGAGGACCTTGGTGGCCAAGGCTAATTCCAAGAGCTGTTGAGAGATCGTCCTATGACCTCAAACAAGGAGTCAAGGACCACAATCCTCAAATGGAGGGCAATGGAACTGCTGGACCTGAGTGACTCCAGGGAATGGAGATACCAGACCGCAATGCAGAGACAAACCCTGGAAGGGTTGCTGGAAAGGTTTGATTGACTATGCCTGAGCAGCATGGGCTGCCCATAGTGGTTCAAGTACATGGAGCTGATCTTGAACCAGCCAATTTTGATTTTTTTCTCCCTCCACGGGCCTGGTCTACCACTGCAGTGTCCCGGCCAGCCAGCCCGCCACTGATTCGCTCCATGCAGTTGAACATGGGGTTATTGCTTCCAACGGGGGACCGGCCTACCTCCCAGCATCCCAGGTGACTAGCCCTCTGCCTCCACCTATGGCCCCCCTACCACTGAACATTTAAGTGCCACCTGGCAGGGCCTACCATCTGGGGCAGAGCTGGGACCAATCCCAGTGGACACCTGCCCCTGCGTGGCAACCGCCTCAGCCACCAGCTTGGGCTGTCTCTCCACCCCACTTTAAAGCTGGCTTTGATGGGGACCCAGACAAGCTGGCATTCTACCTGAACCAGGTGTGGGCCCACCTTGATGACTATGGAGGTGACTACCCCCAGAGCACCATGATAATCAGGGCCATCACTGACAATCTAACAGAGGAAACAGCAGACTGGGTGACCCAACTATATGACGAGGATGCGCCAGAACTGGGAAATGTCAATGTTTTTCTGCACGAACTGAGGGTTAGATTCAAGGAGGATCCCAAGCCCAGTAAGCTGAGGAGGAGATCAAAAAAATCAAGCAGGAGAGCTGCTCAGCCAAAGAATATGTCTGAGAGTTCAGGAGAACTGCAGGCAAGCTATGGCAATGGCCCGAATGGCTCCTGGTCTTCTTTAAAGAGGGGCTAGACAAGTGAGCTACTCCATATCTGCGTCTGCCGAGGAACTACCAACCAAATCCATGAATGGTAATGGATGGCAGTGACCATGGACCTTGAGCTCCACTGGCATGAGAAGGGAGGAGGGGCTGACAAGAAGCCCAAAAGCCAACCTGAGTGATGGCAATTGGGGCAATGACTCAGTCTCTGCCAAGTGGAAGAGCCACTGAGAGTGGCCTCGGTGATTAAATGCTTCTGATGTAATCAGCAAGGCCATCGAGTGACTGAATTCCTGGTCCCAGCCCCCATCGCACAAGCCAGGGGCACAAAATCAACCAAACTGAAGAAGTTATCGCGAAGGGCTTCAGAGAAGGGGAAATTTGCCTTCCAAGCTGTTGAGGTCACCTCTCCCTGCATCAAGGAGGGGGGAACTCCGGTCCTGGAGACCCAGCTGCTGATGCTCTACAACAGTGATGATGACAGCAAGGATGACCTGATAGTAAGTATGGTCACCTGTCCCTTCTCCATCTAGTCGAGGCTAATAGCACCCAAGACAGGGGCAGAGGGGAAAATAGAAACAATCATAGACACGGGCTGCATCTAGTGTCTGATCAGTTTGCCCACAGTTCTGAAGCTAGGGATCAGGACAAAGCCCCTAGCCAGATCTATACACTTTAAACAAGTTGATGGGTCACTAATAAGAACTCCAGCCACACTTCTAACCGAGCCCATGAGATTAGAAATGGGCCAGCACTGGGAGCTGATCTGATTCCTGATGGTGCCAAAAATGATGGAAGCATTGATTCTGGGTCTGACATGGCTGGACAAGTGGCAGCCCACTATCTCCTGGGAGGGTGGATATAGGAAGCTGAAACTGAGAATAGGCCCTTCCCTCTCCTAACACAGCTGAGGAGGGAGCTGTCCAACAACTGAACGGCCCCAAGCAAAGTGAATGAGAGGCTGTGCCTCATAGCAACCCCCAGGCACTCCCCAAATCCCCAGAGAATACTGGGACTTAGCCGGGGTGTTCAGTAAGGAGGATTGCAACACATTCCTCCCCCCCCCGACCCATCAACTGCACCACAGAAATTGTAGCGGAGGCAAAACTGTCCAAGCTTAAGATGTACACCATGACAGCCAATGAGTATAGAGAACTGAGGGAATACATGAACAGCAATCTAGCCCAAGGGTTCATACAGCCAGCAAAGTCCAGAGTGGCCACCACAGTCCTCTTCAAGAAGAAAAAAGGACAGGTCGATGAGGCTCTGTGAGGATTTTAGAGGAATTAATGCTGTATGCGTGGAAAACACATACCCACTGCCCCTCAGGAAGGACATGCTGGTACACCTGGCCAAAGGAAAGGTTTTCATCAAACTAGACCTATGAAAGGCATATTACCAGGTGTGAATTAAAGAGGGGGACAAGTGCAAAACCTCCTTTAACTGTCCCTTAGGGAGCTTTATGCAATCTTTATGCAACTGATAAACGAGATGCTACATGAACACCTCTACAGAGGAGTCTTCGTGTACCTGGACAACATTCTCATTTTCATTGAGATCTTGAAGAAGCACATTACATTGGTGCACCAAGTGCTGAAAAAACTTGCTGTTAAGCTAAATGTGAAGCTCTCAAAATGCAAGTTTCATAAGACTAGCCTACACTACCTGGGCTATCGAGTGTCAAACGAAAGTGTAGAGATGGACCCGGCTAAAGATAAAACAGTCTTAGATTGACAACTCCTCGCACATGAAAACAGATGCAGACCTTTAAGGTTTGCTATCTTCTATAGGCAATTCATCCCCTCCTTCACTGCCCATTACTGAACTGTTAAAAATGGGGGGGGGGGCAGCAGCCATGGCCAAGCCAATCCTTAAACTGGACTTTAGAGTGCCAGTGGGCTTTTGAAGCACTAAAATCCCTATTTCCCAAGGAACCAATCCTCAGGCATCAAATTCCAGAAGAGCCCTTTGTAGTCCAAGAGGATGCTAGCAACGTGATTGTCGCAGCTGTCCTACTGCAGAAAAACTGATGGCAACCTGCAACCCTGCGCCTACACCTCCAAAAAATTGACAGAGACTGAGAGGAGGTGGGTGGTGTGGAAGAAGGAAGCCTATGTGGTCCAATGAGCCATACTGAATTGGAGACACTTTCTTGAGGACATCCTCATTCCGTTTGAGGTGTGGACTGATCACAAAAACCGAGAAGCCCTCAAGACCCCACGAAAACTCTCCCCCAAGCAAGTTCACTGGGCCCAGTACTTAAAATGGTTCAACTTCGAGCTAAAATACATCTCTGGGGGGAAAACCTCCTGGCAGATGCCCTATCACTCAAGCTACAGTACAATAGCTATGATTCTCTCCTCCCAACATGCCTTGCAAACCAGGGATAGACTAGGTGACAAAGAGCTATGACTGAGGGGTGGGTAGCCCAAAACTTAAGAGACGATCTGCCAGCCAACCAGTGGTACAACAACAACAAAGAGACACTAACTCTGAGAGATAGACTAGCCTGGAAAGGCTCAAAGTTGTATGTGCCTGAGAGCCTATGACTCCAAATATTCCAACAGTTACAATTCAAAGCAAGCAGGGCACTTTGGCTATTTGAAGACACTGCACTTAGCCAGAAGGCAATTTTGCTGGCCAAAGATGAAATGGGACATTAAGAACTATGTCAAAAGTTGTGCCACTTGTGCAGCCATGAAGAACAGGCCAGAAAAGCCCCCTGGGTTGCTCCAACAGGTGGCAGACCTATCCAGACCCTGGGAGGAAATTGCCATGGATTTCATTGTTGAGCTTCTTGAGAGTGGGGGAAATACAGTCATTTGGACTGTAATAGATTTATTCTTGAAGCAAGCCCACTTCATAGCGTACCTGGGGCTCCCATCAGTGAAAAAGCTTGCCAGATTGTTTATAAAGCAGATTTATAGGCTACACTGTGTCCCCCACAGGATCATTTCTTATTGAGGGGTCCAATTCACTGCTATGTTCTGGAGGGAGTTCATTAGGTCCATTGGGTCTTCGCAGGGGCCTAGCTGAGTACCAGTGGGGCCACAGAATGCACAAATGCCATGATGGAGCAGTTCTTCAGATGTTGTGTCAACTATCAGCAGTCAAATTGGTCAGAGCTATTGCCATTCACTGAGGTGGCATACAATAACGTGGTGCACAGCAGCACCGGCCTGAACCCTTTCCAGGTCACCAGTGGCATGGAATTCATTCCCACGCCTGAACTTCCTCGGGAGCCCCCTTCTTCAATGTCATTAAATGGATGGCTGGAGTCCTTGAAGGAGGGGTGGGAAAATACCAAGCGGGCTTTATGGGAAGTGGCAAAAACCCATCAAGCACAAGCCAACAAATTCTGAAGCCCCCAAGTGCTGTTCCAAGTCAGGAGCAAGGTCTGTCTCTCAATGAACTACCTAAAGTTAAAGCTCCCTTGCAAAAAATAGGGCCTTTCTCTATAGGGAAAGTAATCCACCTGGGTATAGTGCAGCTAAACTCCCTCGCTTGCTAGGGAAAGTGCATCCGGTTTTTCACAGCAGTTTGTTAAAGCAGGCAGTAGGCTCACTGATCAGACCAATAGATCAGGAAGCCCCAAAACTAATAGTGGTACAGGGGGAGATGCATTATGAGGTAAAGAAGATCCTGGATTCAAAATTGCATAGGGGGAGGCTGCAGTACCTTGTGCAGTGGAAGGGGTACCCGCTCTCTGAGGCCACTTCGGTCAAGAGCTGGAATGTGAAGGTAGATAGGTTGGTCAAGCAGTTTCATGATGAATACCCCAGAAACCTAGGGGACCTCCAGGGGGAGGAAGGGGTGTGTGTGTTAGACTGAATCTTGAGTAACCTCTCTGTGCTTTCTTTTCTTTGCAGGAAGTTATTTTCAATTAAAGGGGGACACCTGTCAATCCTGAAGCTGACCTGACTGAAGCCATTTTGCTGCTTCAGTGTTGCCCACTGGAGCTGAGGGATAGGGATAGGGGAATAGAGATAGCTGGGGTTTTGTAGCCAAAACAAAATATTTTCTCTTGGGAACCAAGGACATTCTCACACTTGGTCAGAGAGAGGAGGAGTGATGTTACGGCAATTGGACGGCACCTCGATTGGACCATGTGACTGATAGCTTGGGGAAAGAGAAAAACATTTACTTTTAATTAGGTAAAAGCCACGGGAACCTTCAGAGTCAGTTATCACCAGATCTGTGCCAATATGATATATCCAATAAAACTATTTTTTGAGGAATCTACCTGCCTTGGAGTTTTGCTTGCTATGGGTCTATTACTTGGAACCCTTACAGGAGGTTAATTACTACCAGAGAAAATGGTAGATTTTGTAATGTATCATTGCTGTGAAGTTAAACATTTCCATTTTATCTGTTGGAAATAAATATCCTATTAAAATATTTAAGCATTGTATTGAAGATTCCTAGAAACTAGCATCTTTATTTAATGACTTTGAATACCTTTCTTTGATCCAACTGATTTTTTAAATATAAAAACTATATCCCTAAAAGGAAATCAGAAGTTCATTTTATATCTTGAATTACATTATTATATTATGAAAAATTTGGCCCCAGTAATAATAACTGTTGAATTATTAAGTTTAAACATATTTTCTTCCTTTACCCAGCCTTCTTTTTTTAATCTGCTTTACACTTGGCAAGAAAAATGGCAGTAGTCATTCATTTGAAATAAACCTTTCCACATTTTTATTAATTTGAAAAACACTCTGAAGCCCATGTTTTATTCAATCTGTTCTGCACTATGTAAACGTTTCTAAGTTATACAAAATTTACATAATTCAATAGATCCCTAATATTTAGAGTACTATCATGGAATCAGTGCTAGAGTAGCTTTGTCGATTCAAAACTTTATTAATTATAAATTGTTAAGATTTTTACTTTGAGAAGAGTTCCGCTGTATTTAACGTATGTGTGTAAATATATTTGATATGTCAGTGTATATAGAGCATACTTGGACCCAACGCTTGCTATGCATTTCTGGAAATCTCAGCCTTATTTTTGCTGAACTATGTCTATATTTAAAGAATGCCCTTTTTATTCAACTAGTATATAGATTCAGCAGATCTCGAACCTGCTATGGAGGCTGAGAATCCAGTGAGATTCCATCAGGCCTGGCAGAAGCTATGTAAAGCAGAGTAAGCAAGTACTTTTTTCTTCACTTCCACTTGGATTTACATGGTTGATTCTTGTTTTTTGTTTTATAAATAAATGCATTTTAATTTTATATAAAAGTAAAACTTGAACATTTAATATGTCAGTGTAAATAAAGCATACTTGGACCCAACACTTGCTATGCATTTCTGGAAATCTCAGCCTTATTTTTGCTGAAGTATGTCTATTAGCAGGGGTAGGATTCAAATTTTTTAACAACCGGTTCTGTGGGTGTGGCTTAGTTGGTGGGCGTGGCTTGGTGATGTTATTGGCTGGACGTGGCCAACTCAATATCACTCACATCGAGGCACGCATCTCCTCGCCTGGCCTCTCATGACTGTGGGGATGCTGCAACCATCGTAAGTGTAAAAAATGGTCATAAGTCACTTTTTTCAGTGCCATTGTAACTTTGAATGGTCACTCCGCACAAGCAAAGTACCAGCAAAGGAGGGGGAAAAAACTCCAGAGATGTTCCTGAGACAGGAAGTCTAGTCCTGCCAAGAATGTAATAAGGGTTAACGGAGAGGCAGTTTCTGTAAGCAACACCAGAATGTTTCCTTCCTGCCTTCCTTACGGGATTAGGCCAGTAATTTCTTCTAACAACCGGTTCTCCGAACTGCTTAGAATATTAACAACCAGTTCTAGCAAATAGGTGTGAACTGGTAGAATCCCACCCCTGTCTATTAGGTGTTTTGGGTTATTTAGTTTTTGCTAATGTCCTAAACTGTGAATTGACGTAAGTTATAATAAAAGGCAAATATTTAGTTTACATTCATTGATAATATTATTATGTGAAAAAGAATCAGGTTTGTGTAATGCAGACAAAGATTATTAAAAATTGTCCTTAGGATGAGATCATACCTTATGTATCATAATGGTATGTTTGAAATGACATAAACTGATAAAATGTTAAGTACATATACCAACATATGAAAAACTGAGTTAAAAGGTCTTATATGTTCTACCTATCAATTAAAGTATGGCACAGATACACATAAGCCTCAAATCTAAATTATTTGCCTGGTGCATTATGCTTGACTTTTGTATTGTGTATTATTTCAGTTGCGTATTAGTACCTGGAGGTTTCGGCCCTAGGGGAACAGAAGGAAAACTTCAAGCAATTTCATGGGCAAGAAAAAAGAAAAAGCCTTTTCTTGGTAAGAATGTACACAGGGAGTGAAGCGATTTTAGTTTTGCAGAATTGATAACATTTGTTCAAAGTTGATTTCCCAGGCTTGTGAATCTCCAATTTGAAGCAGAAATGCCAGTTCAGAAGCTTGTGAACTCTTAGGGCACTTCGTGCAGCAGCTCTCTTGGAAATGTCCTGGGAGCTGTGGAAATTGAACTGGCTTCTACTTCAGTGGGAAAATTGCACAAGCAGTTTTAACAGCTTCTCCTCTGGCGCCTTAGACCAAGCTGGTTTCTAACTTTTTTCTCTGCTGTTTGGTGATAGGGTGGCATTGTATTTTGCCACCATCTTCTTGACGCACACAGCCTCATTGAGGAGCTGCTTTGCCATTTCCACAATAAAGGGGTGATTTTTTTTAATAACAGGGAAGAAAAGACAAAAACAAATACAAAGCCTTGGTTGACTTCAGGGTAGCCTCTCAACTTTCAATCAGGTCTTACTTCTTGGATAATTACCACCAGTCAGGGAGCAACAAAGCTCTTTTCATACCCATTGCCTCAAATAAAATAATTATTGATAATTGATATCCCCTCCCCCCATGTTTCAGTTTATGGATTTGTCTGGCAATTTGCAAAAAGCATGGCAGTTTGCTATAATCAGTGAATACAGATAGCTCTTGAGTTAGGATCACAATTGAGTTGTGAAATTTATGTTGTTAAGTGAAACAAAAGTTAGCTTTTCCCCATTTTATGAACTTTCTTGCCATAGTTGTTAAGTGAATCTGGGTTCCCCATCAGAAGGTCACAGGACAGTGCAACTGTCATAAATATGAACCAGTTGCCAAACAATTGAATTTTGCTCATGTGACTATGGGGATGCTGCAATATTTGTAAATGTGAAAAATGGTCATAAGGCACTTTTTTAATGCTGTTGTAACTTTGAACAGTCACTAAAAGTTGTAAGTCGAGGACTACCTGTATTCCAGGAAAATTTGTCTAGCTCTTATTCCCAACTCCTAGTTACTTTCTAATAATAACATGCAAGGGCCAATGTGTTAATTAATCTTGTGTCTAAGATGAAGAAATGAGGTTCAAATATTAGAGGAACATAAACGCAGAAGAAAGGATGATGTTTAGAATTCAAAGTGATAAATACAGGTAGCTCTTAAATTACAACCATAACTGGCACCAGAAATCCAGCTGTAAGTCATTGTAGTTGTAAGTCGAGGCCCTCTGTAATGCTCCCACATTTTATATAACTTTTGTGGTGGTCACTGTGTGAGAATCACTGTGTTCATTAGGCAAAGCCATTCTTCTGTATGGATGTTTTTTTCTGGAAACTAGCAAAAAGTACTGGAAACCAGCAAAAGAACCTACAGATCACATCACCCAGAATGTTATAATTAAATATAAAAGTGATTGGTTGCCAAGCACTTGTCATAATGTCATATGACCACAGGGCAGAGTACAGCAATTTACAATGTATGTGTGTATCTGTGCACGCTCTACAGGCCATAAAGCACCAGTTCCATCCACTTTTTAAATGTGAACGGTGGTTAGGCAACAGGTTGTGAGGACAACCTTTGTCACATTATACTCCACTTTTTTGCTTTTGGGATCACAAAGCAACTACATATGTTCTATTTCTTGGCTGGACATATATACATATATGCATGTATGGAATTATATAATTTACCATTTTTTGTTACTTATAGGAATTTGTTTGGGAATGCAGCTGGCAGTAGTGGAATTTGCAAGGAATTCTCTAAACTGGCAAGGTATGTGCTTAATCAATGCTATTTTACAACTAATTATTTGTGGGTAAGCCCCACTCAACTTAGTAAAAATCAAATAACTGTAAGCTCTGTAAATGAAGAAATCTCCACTTATAGAAAGAGATAATTCTTAGTTTGCATTCATTAATTAATCAGACTGAGGGAATAAAGCAAGAAAATTTTATTTAGCAGAATTGTTGTATTAGAAGTTCCCTCCCTAATTATTGTTCTGGATGTCAGGAGGAATCCAGAAGAATATTAACCTTGGGGTTTAAATAGAATTATTGAGTTCTCATTGTTTTTCAATAATATGTTACTTATACTATGTTTCCTCAAAAATAAGACCTGGTTTTATTTTCTTTTTGGCCCCAAAACAAGCACCAGGTCTTATTTTGGGGGGCTATCTTACATGCTTATCTTAGGACCACCCCAGCCACACCTCCCATGCCCTGACACCTGTTGCGCCACTGCCAAACTTCTGTGGCCACTCATGGCCATTCGCAGCCAGATGTCGTGTGGCTCGTTGCTCTAGTGCCTCCGTTTACGGCAGGAGGCTGCGCGGCATATTGTGCTGTTGTGTGCATGAGCAGCAGTAATGGTGCAATGAGCCTTGAGTTCTGCTGTGAGGGGTGGCACCAATGTGATGCACTATTTGGCATTCAGCCACAAACGACTGCATGTGGCTGCAGATGTCGGGCAACAAACAGTGCAACAGGTGTTGGGGTGTGGGAGGCCTGGCTGCGGTGGTTCTAAGATAAGTGGGTGCAGGGCACGTGGGGTAGCTCCACCACCAATCTCTGCCCTAGCTTGATTTTTATGTCTGCGCCTCACCCCACCTTATACAACCAGATGATGGGCTTGGCTTAAGTAGGGCTTATTTTGGGAGTAGGGCTTATCTTAGGCACAGGTGTGAAAATCAGGCTGGGGCTTGTTTTGGGGGTAGGTCATATTTTCGAGGAAACACGTGATATGTTTATTTATTTGATTCAATTTTGGTGTTGCATAATTCCCAACCAACACAGTAAGTAAAATTTCTATGAATCAATCACATACTTTAGTAATAAGTTTCACTTCTTAGATTTCAGCCCCCTTTAGTCCCCCTTTATCTTCTCTCTAGATTTTTAGGAATCTTCCATTCCTCCAGGCAAAGTCAGGATGTTGATGCCTTTAACCTGACTTAAGAAAATTCCATACTTCTTGTGATAGGATCATATTTCTAACGAAACTCTTGACAACTGAGGGGAAAAATTTGATCACAAAGAGCAGTCAAATCGACATTATTGTCCAACACCCTTTTGAGTTCTTGATTCATCATCATTTTAGCCATTGTCTATCCACTGTAGGATGAAGGCCTTTTCTGCATGTTTCCAACCTATATGGCCCTGAGCTTTCTTTTGCCAATTGGGCTCATAATACTTGATGATGTTGTCGATCCATCTTGTTTTAGGTCTTGTGGACACTTTTTATCAGGTGGGATCCATTCTATGACTAGCTTGGTCCACATACCATCAATTCTTCTTGCTAGGTGACCAGCCCATTTGCATTTCAATTCTTTTACTCTCTTGATGATATTGTATACTTTCATTTGTTCTCTAATCCATATGCAGATCTTTCTATCTTGTTTTGTAATGCTGAGCATGTTTAATCTTGGTTATCCATGGGTATCTGCAGCTAACTGTAATGATGTCAAAATGATTAAAAGTGTGTGGACTTTATGTCATAATTCACATTTTCTTACTTTAATTATCTGATTTTTTTCTACATTTGTTGCAGTCACAATAGTTTAGGGGTACAGAATTCAGGCATATCTAAACCATTAAAACGAATGCATAAGGCTTAATGTTCCTTATTGTTCATAGTGACTTTTAAGCACATGCTCAGAGCAAGAAAGCAATTGGTTAAGTATTGTATTTATAGATGTGCATCTGTTATGTTTGCTATCATTTATATGAGTCTCTGCCCACAATGTCAGTTAGGGCATGTCAGTCAGAACATGCTCGTTTTAGTGGTTTACTTCATGTTGTTTAATTGAAGAATACATTATGTATAATATTAAAAAGCCAATGAGAAGAGCATTTTAATCATCAGAGCCCACAGAGTTTATATCAGCTTTTTTAATTAATTTTTTTTTCTACAGATGCCAATTCAACCGAATTTGATCCCAATACAAAGAAACCTGTTGTAAGTATTGATTCCTCCTTCTGTTTAAACAGGTATTGGATGCCCAGATTTTCTCATTCTTAATTAGATATGGTGACTCATTTAATTAAGACAGACACGCATTACTAATTCCAAGGAATCTGTTGCAAGCGTGGCTAAGAATGTTTCTGAATGAGAAACTTTTTGTGCATAGATCTTGCATTGAATTTTATGAGCAGTCCAAATGACCTGATTTTCCAGTTGTAATCATAGTATTTTCTTTCCAGTTCTTGTTTTATTTTTCTTACTACAAATGAAATAATACTAATGTTTGGACAATCCATTTAAAATCTGTTAAAGAATACTAAATAAATACAGACCACCCATAATTTCATTTTTATATAAACACCATTTAAAGCAGACATTTATGCCAGACCAATTGCTTATGAAATGACAAACTATGAATGGAAGCTTCTCTCAACACTCTAAGGTCACACATAAATGTAGAACATGCATGTTCGACTTTTGCTATTACTGTTAGGTAAAAAAATAATGGTTTGAATGCGGTAGGTGCCAAAATTAAGATAAAAGCTCTACTAGTAAGTGTAGTACTTTCTAAAAAATTGGATACATAAAATTATTTAACTCAAGCAGTTATTAGACAGTAATCTAATATATTGTGTTGCATAATGTTTGAGGTAAGCAATAAATAATTGTTCAGTAAATCATTACTAGTAAAGAAAGTGCAACATTGCATGATTTACAATGAACACGTATTATTAATCACTATAGAACAGGGCTGTGTGTATTAGGTTGAAATGTAAAATTATCAATTACTAATTACTATAATGAAAATATCTGATTACAAATTGTGCAATCCTCTGTTAACAACATGATTTGTATATGTACAATATAAATAGTCCCTACAAGGAGATTTTGGTCAGAAAAAAGGAGTTTCTAATAAAAAAAACCCAGGAATATATAATATAAAAAATGTTAAATGCAAAGCTTTTGCTGTGTCCCATCATAAAAGATACAGTGCCCTTGCTGACCTTAATAGGGACACTAAAGTGACAGGTCAAGGTAGTTGTGATAATGATAACTCAAGTAAGCCGGGGATCATGGTCCTAGAAGAAGAACTTACTTTGGAAGAGAAGCCACCTTCTGGTTGGGGACTCAATTGTAAGGGATGTAAATTTAGGAAAGGATACTGAGGTTTTGAAAGAGGTCAGATGTCTACCAGGTGCTACTGCCAGCAGAGACAAGAAGTGTATTCTTAAGATAGTCAAAAATGCCAGCAAGGACTGTGATGTTGATGCTATTATACATCTTGGTACAAATGATCTGTCTCAGAAGGATGTACTTTCTGTTCAGAAAGACTTCCAGAGCTTGGGGTATGATCTTAGTAATATGGGCTGTAGGCTTATCTTTTCAGAGGTCCTACCAGTATACAAGGAACAAAAAGGGAAAGGGCAGCGTGTAGCAGAGTTTAATGTGTGGCTAAAGGAGTGGTGTAAAAGGGAAGGCTTTGGTTTTATTAGTCATGATGTCTGCAGCTGGTCCAATGAAAAACTGTACAAAAGAGATGGTTTGCATCCATCAAAGAAAGGGACTGAATTACTTGGCATTAAATTCACAGATTTCCTGGATAAACATTTAAACTGAACAGCGGGGACAGAGAATTAATCGATTCAGAACATTTCTGTCCCCAGCAACCTAAAACTAATAAGGATACCACTGCATGCAAAATAGATGTTTGTGCAGGTAAGATTATCAACCTTGATGCCAACCAAAACCAAGCATTTAATAGTGAGTGCCATACCATGTGCATTAATCAAACAGGTGGCAAGAAAGTAGGGACAAGCAGGCACAACACAGGTTATGTAGACAGTAACACAGTGTCAGACATAAAGATCTCAAGTGCCTATATACAAATGCACAAAGTCTGGGGAACAAACAGGGTGAACTCGAACTATGAATACATGAATATATGATATAGTTGGAATAACAGAAACTTGGTGGGATGAAACCCATGACTGGAACATACTGGTAGAAGGATACAAACTATTCAAAAAACAAAAACAAAAAAAACCAGACCCCATAAAAGAGGAGGTGGAGTTGCACTGTATGTAAAGGACCACTCTATTGCTACAGAAATGCATGAAACCAAAGATGAAAACCTCCTAGAATGCATATGGGTCAATATAAAAGAAAAAAAGAATGACATGGCCATAGGCGTATATTATAGGCCACCCAATCAAGCAGAAAAAATAGATGTCCATTTTGCCAGCCAACTAAAAAAAATATGCAGGAAACACACAATAGTAATGAGAGACCTCAATTATCCTGATATCAATTGGAAAACTAATTCTGCACCAAGTGAGAAATCAAATAAGTTCCTCACCAACCTAGCTGACAACTTTGTTGTCCAAAAGGTAGAGGGTGAAACTAGAGGGACAGCCATATTGGACTTAATTCTTACAAACAGAGAAGAAGTGATAGAGGGAGTTGAAACTGCAGGAACCTTGGGTGAGAGTGACCATGTCATACTAGAATTCAACATAACACAAACAAGGAGAGATTTAACCTGGAAATAAAGAGAAACTTTCTGACAGTGAGAACAATCAACCAATGGAACAGCTTGTTTTCGGAAGTTGTGGGAGCGCCATCACTTGAGATTTTCAAGAAGAGATTGGACTGCCATTTGTCAGAAATGGTGTAGGGTCTCCCACTTGGGTGGGAGGTTGGACTAGATGACCTACAAGGTCCCTTCCAACTCTGATTATCTGTTATCTGTTATATCTAACTTTGGCACCCAATATATAAACTGGAGTCTAACATTTTTTTAAAAAAACTATAAAATATCAATAATACCATGAACCCAAGTATACTAGATTAGAAAAAAGTTTGGGGTAAGTTTTTTAATGTCTCAGCATATGTAGCCGTAGAACTACTTATAGTGGTTTACTTCTGCAAGTTAAATTGGATAATATCTGATAGTACTTTGATGAAAACCCATAAAGAGATCCCAGGCCTATAAACTAGTCCAGGATAGACTAAACTAGATTAAACTAGACAGGTAAGGCAATAGCAATAGTTCAATATTTTCCTAATCTACATCAATAACACAAGACAAAACTAGAATGAAATAACACAAAATTCTTAAATAGATTTTTTAAATATTTTGTAACATTGTGAAATAGCTGCTATGAGTTAACCTATGAACATTAATTTTAACAGCATCAGTTTTCTGATCTTCCAGATGACTTGATTATTTCTACTCAAGAGATGCTATTGATAACTTTGGGATATTACTTGGATATCATATGCCAGATGCTGCTGTTACTTTAATATTATTTCATTTTTCCAGATACTTTTCAACTGAGCAATACCTTTTGTCAATTACATGCTCATCCATCTATTTTTATTAAAGCAAAGCACAAATATTATTTGTTGGTAAAGGTAATAAAGCTTCAACAAGACAAGACAGGAGGGCAGAGCTGACATCATGGTGAAACAGTGTGGTTTTCACGGGGCTTCATGAAATCCTGCCAAATTCTGCCTGCCAGGAGGCCCTGTCCAAAGTCACTTCAGAGGGGTGACAAAGATAGAGGGGACACTCCGTCAATCACAAGGAGGCTGCAATCTCCTTGTTTGATCTGGAGAAGCCTTTCAAACCAGTGGGACAAAAAGACAGCCATTATGGCTAGACCAAGGCTATGACAGTTCGATTGAAGAAGCAAAGAAGAGATGATTTAACAACAGTGTGGCTGAGTTGGGTGAGATTTTTCCAACGTTTGTTGAGAAATTTGCCCCTGTAATAACTTCTAGTGAAAGTGGGACTCAAGAGAGGAGTAGTAGTAGTTTTCTCCCACTTCTCAAGATTAGCGGCGATTAAGACTGTGAGCTGTTGTCAGATCCGAAAAAGGGAGAAGAGAATTGTTTGAGAGAATAAATTTTAAAGCCAGAGGAAAACTGGACTGGTTGTTTTAGCAACTTTACTTGAGTTAAAAAATACTAGAATATATTCAAAATGAAACTTTGACTTTCGGAACTTTTAAAAAAGAAAAAAAGTTCTTTCACACTTTAGAAATTCAGAAGTAAAATTAGAGAAATAGGGTGACACCTACTGGTGGGGAAGGGCTCCAGAAAAGTGAAAAGACCTTGACTGCTGATAAGATTGTTATTGCTACAAGTAACACCTGCAAATTGTTTATATTGGACATTTGAAAACAGTGAAAATATTGAAACTTTTTTTTAACACTGTAACTCTCTGAACTTTTATGGATTATAAATATGCTGAGCAGTTTGAAGTTGGAAACCAGCAGGGATTTATTTTGAGACTAGGTGGATGATTCTTTGATTTGTAAGATACTGTGGTTTACAAAACAGTGGGGATTTGATGGCCTCTGGATTACAAATACTATTTGCTAAAAGAAGAAGAAACAGCAGCTGTTTTTAAAAAGAAACAGTTTGGATTAATTTACAGATTAACTTTGTGGATTATAATAGTAAAGAACTGTGAAGATGACTAGCGACTGGAAAAAAGAAGGACTCTGTGAATTTCTTTTGGTAATATTTCAAAAGTGGGAAGAGGAATTAGCTCGGGATTTTGGATTATTCTGGTTTTATTTTGAATTATTATTGTTTATCCTTTTTAAATTTACTAATACAGCTTAAAATGACAAGTACTCAAAACTTAACTATAATAAGAAGGGAGCACATCTGCACCATCAGCAGCAGCATTCAGTCCATCAAGTCAAAATCATTAGACAGTCTGATACAACAAGAGAAAATGAATATAATTCAAAAAGAGATGCAGTCAATGTTTCAATCACTACAAGAGGCATTGGCAAGAAACCACAATGAGATGTAGAATGAGTTGGGAGAGATGAAGGAAAAAATACAAAATATGGATGAAAAAATAGGGAATTTTCACCAGATGAACAAAAGATTAAAATAATAGAAGAGAAATCAGATCAAGCAGAGAAAAAAGTGGATGAAATGAACCAAAGACTGACTCAGGCAAAGAAGGTCTTAGA